CTTTGAAACCCAGCGCTCAACCGCTGCGCCACCAGGGAGGCCCAGGAGTTGGTCTTTATTGAGGAAGTTAAAGTTATTAATGGCTTAAACAAGAGTGACACCAGATTAGAATTATATTAAAAAAAAAAAAAGGCTACTCAAAATGTAAAGAACGCAAATGAGGGGGGAACAGTTTCATTAGTGGCTTAAACTACTGCGTTGGACCAGACTGGTGACTGTAGGAAGGAGAAAAGTGAGCATGTACAAGAGATACTTAGGAGTTTCACTCAGTATTGGATAAAAGGTGACACAGAAAAGGAGAAAACTGAGTGATTTTACAAATACTCCCTTCTCTCCCTCACCCCTGAGGTCTAATTATTTAATAAGTCCATTTCATTTTATTCATTGATTTCATGAATATCTTTCCCACCTGTCCTCTCTTTTCCATCCCCATTGTCGTTGGTATAATTCAGCTCTTATCCTCCCTCCCTAAGAATTCAGATTTTCTCTCTCAAGACCATCCTCCATCCATCTGAACATATGACCTATGTATAATGCAAACCTAGTAAAATCAATGCAAGCCCCATTATCTGTCTTGTGTTATTACAGGAATAAGTCCAATTCCTTTCTAGTCTGGTCCCAACCTACCTTGCTAGTTTCTTCTTCCCTTCCTTAGGCTAAAGTTCTCCAAGAGACATTGTACCCACTGAACCCCCAATATCACCTTCATGTTCAGGTAAACGTTCCTTCACAAGTCAGTTGCTTGTGTATTTATTAAATATACATGTGACACATTCCTGAGGAGTCATATGATCTTCCCGTTGTCAGGAATTTGCCACCCCCTTCTATATGGTACATTCCTATTCATACTTCAAGTCCTAGCTCAGATATCAAGTGTCTGTAGTCTTTTCTAACACTCACCGCTCCCTGGATAGGATTAAAGGCTTCCTCATCTGTACTTCTAAAGCATTTATACATACAGCATTCTGTATTAGGACTGATTTCATTGTATTACAGGCATCTAAGGAGGCACAGGCAAATATAATCGAGTGCTTCTGACCTTGAAGGGTTGTTGGAAGGATTAAATGGGAAAATATATGTAAAGTCAATATGTCTGTTGTTATCTCTTTCCCAATAATAGTAATAACAATCTGTATTGCAATTTACAAAGTATAAACTTTGATAGTGTTCCCCATACCCCCTTGTGTGATCTGGGAATAATCTTGTTATATAGGGATGGTACTATTCCTTGTTTTACAGCTAGAGGAAGTACGGATGGGTTAAAAAGGGTAATGCAGCTGGTTTGATGGTATGTCTAGCAAACCAAAGTGTTTTACTGGTATTTGTTTTAATGGAGTCAGTCTTCTTAGTATAAAAATCTGTGGTTTTCCCATAAAACCACGCGGCTTCTTGTAAATTTTAGTATTTTTTTTTTTCAAATTCTAGGTAGTCTCTCATTGAGTGATATATTCAACGAGGTAGGGACAATCATGGGGCAGGGCTTGGTGGAGAAAATAGAGAATTTCAAATTACATACAAGCAATAAGGATAAACAGAGTTCTGTGATACTTGGTTTTAACATAAAATATATTTCTTATTGTGGGTCTGCATGGAAATAAAGTATGAAAACCCCATGCTAGCACAATGCCAAGTTCTAAATGAACGTTTATTGAATGGAATTATAGTACTTTCATTTTATAGCTATTTTTATTCTCGGAGCCGAAGAGAAAAATGATGTGAACGTGTAAAAGGCCGGGTTGTCACTAAGGCTAAGAATTTGTGTGGGGAGGGCAACATGTCGCCTCGGCTGGCCCACCTGGTCACGCAGTCCACCGGCTCTCCTCCCCGCTGCCCGGGCCTCGCAAACCCTTTTCCAAAAGGAAGGGGGTGTCACCCACCCACCCCAAAACGTAGCTACTGTCAATCACAGATCCTACCATCTGTATTTTTCCGATTCCTAATAGACTGCTTGGTACGAATTGGCCACACTTCATAAATTGGGAGTCAAATGAAAATTCAGGTGACTGCATCCACGCATGCAGGCATTACAGAGTAAATATGGTTGCAGACGACTGTTGTTCTATCTACTGCAGGAATTCTTTCTACTCGACAGCGAGAACGGCCTATTTCCCATTCTAGGGAAACGGTGAAACCACGAATAATTCGGCTCAGGAAGGATAAGTTGCCCTTAGTTAGCATGGCGTTCTAAAAGGCTTCAGGAGAGCGCGGGGAGGAGGACGGGAAAGAAGGGGGCGGTGGTTAAGGGAGGGTGGGCGTGGGTGGGGTGGGGTTGGAAACAACTTGTGACCTTAGTCAAAATGGCTACTTTTGGCTTCGCTCTGTCATAACGCGCACGCCCAGTCCTGTCCCCGCCTCTCCCCCTTGGCCTCACGCTTGCGTCTCTGCGTACAGACGACAGCGCGGGAGGGATAAATTTCCCTGTGATTGGCTACTGCGAGATTTCGAACCCGAGCTGGCGGGCTGCGCGCTCTGCCGTTAGGTCAAGCGTGGCGGGACGTCGGCGGCTGCCCGGCCGGGCCCCTGCGGACCGGGCCGAGTGGCGCCGGGAGCTCCGAGAACAGGTGCGCCTGCCTGGGTCTGAGGTAGGGGGAGTCTGAGGTGGGGGGCCGTGGCCCGCGGGAGTAGGGGGGGCCGCGCTCCCAGCCGGTCCCCGGGCTCCGGCGGGCGCGGGCGGCGCGGCCTGGAGGGGCGGGGCGGCGGGTTGGGGGTCGGGGGCGCCTCTCTCGGCTCGGCGCTTTACGGGAAGCTCTTTCCGAGGTGGCGGCCCGAGCAGAGCGTAGCCCCCCAGAGAACTCCTAAATACGAGTTTGGGGGTGGGCGGGTGACACGCCCTTCCTTTTGGAGGAACGGGGCGTTTCCCTTTCGACGGGCGTTGGCGAGGCCGGGGCGGCCCGGGGCGGAGCGGGTGTTGGTCTGCACCGGGGGCTGCGCGGCACTGGGGAAACGGGCCTTAGAAGACTGGGGCTCGGGCAGTGCCCATCTCGCCGTCAAGTAGAAAGAATTCCTGCAGAAGCTAGAGCAACAGTCGTCTGCAACCATATTTACTCTGTAACGCCTGCATGCGTGGATGCAGTCACCTGAGTTTTCATTTGACTCCCAATTTATGAAGTGTGGCCAATTCGTACCAAGCAGTCTATTAGGAATCGGAAAAATACAGATGGTAGGATCTGTGATTGACAGTAGCTACGTTTTGGGGTGGGTGGGTGACACCCCCTTCCTTTTGGAAAAGGGTTTGCGAGGCCCGGGCAGCGGGGAGGAGAGCCGGTGGACTGCGTGACCAGGTGGGCCAGCCGAGGCGACGTTGCCCTCCCCACACAAATTCTTAGCCTTAGTGACAACCCGGCCTTTTACACGTTCACATCATTTTCTCTTCACAGGATTTCATTGGTAGGGGGAGGGTGCATGTAGGAATGTAGGGGCGGGGGTGGGGGGTGGTGGTGGTGGGGAAGATAAGGCCATAAGCAAAAAAAGAAATATCCTTATCTTTTTCTTCAATATGTGGGGTGAGCTTTCGAGTTATTGAAAGTGTTTGGAGAAGGGGCCTTTCGCGTAGTTTAATCATTCAACAGGTGTGAAGTACAAAATGTAAGTACAGGACAATGTTATAGGGCCTTAGAGGAGCTTGCAGTTTATTTGGGATGCTAGAACTTAAAGGAGATAATTGTGACACCGGGTGGCCGTTTATACTGTTGAGAGTACTGAGCATTAGTGCAGCCCTTTAAGAAAATATTTTGGCAAGGAAATATTATTTACCGAGGCATAGTGATTTTCACCCTCTAATATAGTAATCCCAGTGTTGGAAGTCTGTTCTGAAGAAAAACACTGTTTGCAGTGATACTCTGTTCCTTCATGCTTTCAAAGAATATTTATTAGTCATTTACTAAGTGTCAGGCGCTGTTCAAGGCACCAAGGGCTTGGCAGTGGACGGACACAGACAAAAATCTTTGCCTTCTTGGCACTGAAACTTAGTGGAGAGATGGACACTGTAAGTTAATATAAAAGTTTGTTAGTTGTTTATAGGTTTTTTGGAGCCAAATAAAGCAGAGAAATGTTGCAGGGAAAAGGCAGCAATTTAAAATAGGGTGGTCAGGGCCTCCCTGGTGGCGCAATGGTTAAGCGCTGGGTTGCGAAGCTGCCCTCAGCCTCTGCAGTGCCTGCCCCGTTCGATCCCGGCTGCTCCCCGGCCTCCTGGTGAGGGTCCCACATGGCGCGCAGACCTCTCCTGCCGCCCGCTGCTCCCCTCAGCAGTGTACTTCGGTCCTTCTGCCTGCTCTGCTCCCCGCTCTGGCTCTGGTGAATCCTCTCACCCTCCCGCGCTTCTGACTGTACCCAGTGCTTGTATAAATAAATAAATAAATCATCAAATCCTTTAAAGTAAAATAAAATAGGGCGGTCAGGAAAGGCCTCAGTGAGAAAATGACATTTGAATAAATACTTGAAGGAGGTGAGGGAGCGACAGTGCAGGAGATTCCAGAGAGATGTAATTCAAAAGCTGGGAATTACCTAAAAGTTCAGAGAATTGTTAAATAATTGTTAACTACATTTTTTTTTTAAACTTAATGGGAATGTGTTAGGAAAACACAAACACAATGTTGTATGTGATCTGTGATTGAAGTTCTATGAGATATGAGTACATAATGGGCCAAAATTAGATAAGGAGGTACATGTAGTCGTTGGGGTGGTGAGGTTTTAATTTCATTATTAAAAGTAAAAAATTTGGGGCCCTCCCTGGTGGCACAGAGGTTCAAGTCTCAGCGCTATCTAGATATCACCAGCCACTGTGGCCTACCTGGTCAGGGAGCTGACCCACATGGTGCTGACAGACCTTCTTGCCTGCTGCTCCCCTCAGCAGTGTATTTCAGTAGATCTACCTGTTCTGCTCCTCGCTCTGTCTCTGGTGAATTCACTCGCCTCCCGCCCCCATACCTCTGGCCTACACCCCAGTTCTTGTATGCATAAATAAATAAAAATAAATCTTAAAAATATGTTTTTGAACCTAGAAGTCCAACAGCATGAGGTGTTGTTTTATATCTGCCAAATGAGCATCACAGATAATAAAGACGGGATCATTTTGGACTGCTTTAGTGAATTCTAAGACATTGAAGAATGGAACACTTCAGAGTTGAAATGAGTTTACAGAAGAAAAAAAAACAACATACTAAACTGGTAATAATTTTTGGAAAAATGATAATTCAGTTGGTCCCTTTCCTAATTTTAGTCTTTATTCATGTTGGACTGAAGGCATTCTGTTTACTCTTTCAGCAGTTGATTTGCTCATAAGAACATTTGGTTTCAAGATAGTCCTTCTGCCTGCCAGTTGTATCGAGGCTTTTGATATGGTGGGAAAAAAGCTGAATATTTGAGAGAAAAAAACAATTGTTCTGAAATGCTTTCACATGAAAGAGTCTTGTAGTATTGAGACTGGCTTAGAGAATGGTTTTCTTTGGCAGCAGAAAACGTATATTGTTGATTTCTTGGGAATCTCCAGATTTAGCAATGCTTGTGAGAATGTTTTTCATTGAAACGTTTTCCTGAAAAACTCAGGCAACCTTTCATTGCTTCATCTTGAAATATTTAACACCCTTGATGCATCTGAAAAACCTAATGTGTAGGTCTTTTAATAATGTTTGTAGGGCCTCCCTGGTGGCGCAGCGGTTGAGCGCTGGGTTGTGAAGCTGCTCGCAGCCTCTGCAGCGCCAGTTCGATCCCTGGCTGCTCCCCGGCCACCGGAGGAGGGTCCCGAGGAGGGTCCCGCATGGCGAGCAGACCTCTCCTGCCGCCCACTGTTCCCCTCAGCAGTGTACTTCGGTCCTTCTGCCTGCTCTGCTCCCCGCTCTGGCTCTGGTGAATTCTCTCACCCTCTCGCGCTTCTGACTGTACCCAGTGCTTGTATAAATACATGAATAAATCTTAAATAAATATAAATAAATTAAAAAAAAAACCTTTAAAATAATGTTTGTAGGGAGAGGAAGAAAAGGAAGAGACTTTTCCCAGGATCCTCTGCAGTAAGATCTGTACCAGTCTGTTATTCTGAAGGAAGAGGTTTGTCTCTTGGCTTGGTGATTGAAATTAAAGTGGGGACTCAAAGCAATCACATCAAGCTGAGACTCTTTCCTGGTGATGTGGAATTGCTCCCTTAGGGATACTCACAGATTGGGAATCTGTAACATAGTGACTTCTCCACCTCTGGGGCTTCTCATCAATAATAGCCAAGATTCTCTAGCACCTTTTTGTTTAAAGTGCTCCACAAACTGTATTCCTTGCTACGCAGAGGAATCATTTCAGCTTTCCCGAATGGCAGCCGCCTCTGTGGTGAAAAGTGACAGCTGTTTTACAACTGCAAAGCAATGTACTACAATATGACTTTGTTTTTGGTTCCTTTCACATTAATATATCTTCTAGCTGTGGAGCTAAATAATAAAGGGGGAGAAATAAAGAAGTATTCGTGAGGGTGAAAATGTGACCCAGTAGGAAAATTAAGACCATATTTAATTGACATTGACTAGGATGAGTAAATTTTAACTTTTCAAGTTACAATTTGGCTGAGATACCAGTTAGTACCTATGCAGAAAGATACGTTTTTGTCATCTCTAAGTAATTCCTGAGCGTCTCTTCTACAGAATTCTAATAAACATGGTTTCTAGCATATAAAGAGAAGAGAATTATATTTTGCCAGTGCTGTTTTTGGATTACCATAAGTAAATCTATTTAGAGTAGAAGCTATAATACTCCTCATAGGCTATAAGCCTTATGTAGAACAACTCATTTAAGAGCTTAGACCTGGTTGAATTTGCTATCACCTTTATTCTTCTGGGTTCTAGCTGTGATTTGGTAATCACTGTTTAGAATGTAAATAACAGGCTATCAGACTAAATTAAAAATATTTATACCCATTATAATAATACTGTTTTTATAGTAAGTTTCAGTTTATGTTATAAAACTTTTAGCTATGTTAATTGATATTGTGTGAGGTAAATAGGGCAAGTATTGTTCCTGTTTATAGGTGAATCTCAGAATTTAAGTGACTTAGCAAGGTTATACTGCTAATAATAGCTTGAAGAACTAAACCTTTATCCTAAGGCTTCTGCCCCACATCTCCTTTCTAACTATTCTGTATGTTTTCATCTATATTGCACATTCTCAGGTGAAATGGACATTCTTTTGGCAGTAGAGTCACAGGTGTTTGTGTGTTCTCTGACTTGCATTTATCAAATATTTTTATTTATTTATTTTTAAAAGATTTATTTATTTATGCATACAAGAACTGGGGTACAGGCCAGAGGGGTGTGTGTGTGTGTGGGGGGGATAGGATTCACCAGAGACAGAGTGGGGAACAGAACAGCCAGACTGACTGAAATACACTGCTGAGGGGAGCAGCGGGCAAGTCAGGAGAGGTCTGCTGTGCCATGTGGGTTGCTCCCTGGCCGAGGAATGAACTGGTGCTTCAGTGGCTGCGTAGAGCTTCATAGGTTGCGTCTTAACCCCTTGCGCCACCAGGGAGACCCCAAATGTTTATTTTAAAATAGTGTTTGTATGTGTAACATACAGCTGTAAGTGCTAGATGTGAGATTTCTCACCTCAAAATTAAAATCTACCTGGGACATTGGGTAGGCCATGATAAAGTTAGAGTGCAAGATTTATGTGTTTGAGTGCCAATTGCTTATGCCAGTTGAGCAGAGCATTGGGAGAAAGGTCAGTGGGAGTTAAGAAAACCTGTGATAAGGGGGTGGGTATAATACACTCAAGAGAAAAGTCCACAGGTTTGGTGATTGTACTTGTAGTGAAGTTAGGTTTGTATCTGAGAGGAAAAATGCTAAAAATAAGGAAATCAATACTATGTAGATTAGGGGTGGAGTAGGTATTTGGTTATATTTATGTATATATGTATGAGGAATAGGTATTTGGTTATATATATGCATGTATATATGAGGTGGGAGGAGAGAACAGTGTCTCAAAATCAAGCTCAACATTTAGGGCTTCCCAAGCAAATTGAGAGCTATTGGATTGGAGTTAGGAGACAGGGTAGAGCTGGAGTAACACACAGTTGACTGTTGTCGTAGAGATGCAGTGACTAAAGTAGGATCATTTGATAGTTTGACAGGTTAGAGAACTGGACTTTGGGGATTAATGTCTGGTGTTGAGAGGGGGAATAAAGAGAAATCCATAATCAAACTATTCATAAAACTCTCAGTCCGTAGACTATGATGGTCTGACAGAGTTAAGGGTTACCTTTTTCTGTGACAGAGCACTGGGAATCAAATAACTATCTTCTAGGTAGGTAGGTATGTTAGGAGAATAATGTAGATTGAAGTCATTGTATGAGATAACGGTTATTATGATGAAGGGATGTCCTCAGGTTCTGTCTTTAGATTTTTTTTCAGAAGTCAGACTGTTGGAGAGACAGTACTGCTCTCCAACTCTTACTCTAGGACTGGTGTGCACAAAGAAAATAGACTAGAGGGACTTGAGAAAATGTGAGGATTTTCTTTTAAAGGGGACAAAAGATTGGGTTGCTATATAGCTATTGTACTTAAGAGGAACATGGACTAGAGGATCTTGAGATTATGTGAGGATTTCTTTTAAAGGGGGCAAAAGAGTGGGTTGCTATATAGCTGTAGTACTTAAGACACAAAGACCTGAAAAAAAATTTTTAATCAGTTTTCAGTACCCTGGTTGTACTGTGAAATTTTCCTTTTCTGTACCCTTGTACAGATGGAAGTTTTCTTATGTACTGAGCTCTCGCTTTCTTAGTGTCTCAGAATATGCAGATGAAAGCTGAGCTGATAAAGCAATACCCCATATTAAACTGATCATTATTTTCTGTTGTCACTGGGAGCCAAAGGAAATCATCATTTGAGTAGCTGTTAACTGCTCTGTCCCTGCTTCTGTCCTGTAGCACTTGGGTATGTTTACCTACTTTGTTGTATAGTGTCAGATAACATGGGCACCTCTATAATTTCCAGAACACTTCTTTCCATTTTTTTTTAAGATTGATTTATTTATGCATAGAACTGGGGTTTTGGCCAGAGGTGTGGGGGGGCAGTGAGTGGATTCACCAGAGACAGAGTGGGGAGCAGAACAGACAGATCTGCAGAAGTACACTCCTGAGGGGAGCAGTGGGTGAGACACAAAAGGTCTGTTACGCCATAAGTGAGTTAGCTCCCAGGCTGGGGATTGAATTCACCTTGTGGTAATAGCGCTGAGACTTAATCCTTATGCCACCAAATAGGCCTACTCCTTCCCTTTTTTTTTTTTTTTTTTTTTTTTTAGTGCTATTCTTTTAGTTTTGTTCTTAGTTTAGAGAAAGATCTTTGTAATGAATTTGTTGGTCTGGTTGCTTAGCAGCTTGCTATGATTATGTAGCTTGGAACAGATACATTGCCATTTGGAAATTTTGGTTTCCAGCCCTGATTCAGGTATAGATTGCATGCAAGCTTGGAATTGAAAGCTTTTTTGCTATTAGAGCAATCACCATATGAGTACAAATGAATAACCCTATAGCATTTAATAGAAAATATCTTTGTTTATATATTCCTTTGTGGTTATTTTTTCCCCTTTATGGACCTCATAGCTTAAGGTACAATCTTGGAAACATCACCAAGTCACTGAAGAATTCTTAAAATTTTTTAGTTGCATGAAATGAGGACTTGAACTAGAATGTTGAAGGGGTTGATTAGGAGAAATATAAGTATGGTATTTCTGGGGACATTATATTTTCAAATGAAATTTGACTTTTATTTCATTTTCTTGACAATTTTCATAAGGTTCAGTTGATGTCTTTCTTGACTGTTAAACATTTCCTCAAAATGTTTTCAATTAAAGTCTGTTTGGAATAGAACTGCCTGTAAGGACACCATTTTAATGTAGTATCAGCGGGTCTTTGGGGAAACACAAGCCTGAAATTCACCATACAGAACACAGTAGCAAATGGTTTTTCCTTTGCCCTTCTAACTGTGAAGGTGGTGTATTGTCTCCTTGATGCCAGAATGTGGTACAATATAACCCTTTGCCTATACTTAGTATAAATTTATTAGACACAGTCTCAGCACGCGCAGTCCAGCAGAGAGCCCTGCATTACAGAAATAATTCTTGTGCTGCTGAGCTGGCGATTTCCTCACTTAATCACTCGTGTGACGTCATCTGTGCCGTTGGTAGGAAATGTGCTGACCATGTCCTGCATATTAAAAGGCAGTTGCAGCAGGGGTACTATCTAAAAGTGAAATTAAAAATGAACATTTTTAACTTATGTTGAAGATTTTAAAATGTGGAAGGATTAAAGTGGCAAAGGTGTTATGTTAATCAATAGGCTTTACTAAAACCACATTTTCTATTTGGTCACCTATAGTAGTCAGCTGATATGCTTGTCCCTAATCGCATTCTCAGCTTCACTGTGATTGCAGAATGGAGGGGGAAAACTGGACAGGGCAAGGGTGGGGATCATATCCAGAGGTCTGGAATGCTTGTTTTCAGGAGTCTTAAACATTCCACCTTTGTTTTGATAATAAAAACATAAGCTGTTGGCTTAAGCTTCTTATGATGTCAGCTGTCCATGTGTTAATCATTGATAGCAACAGTGGATTGCTAGAGTCTATTGTCTGGGATGGGAGGGGCGGCGGCAGGACCTCTAATGTATATTTGATTTCTTGGCAGAAAGATGGATACCACAATGCTGAATTTGCGGAATCTGTTTGAGCAGCTTGTACGCCGGGTGGAGATTCTCAGCGAAGGAAATGAACTCCGTAAGTCATTCTGAGGTGGCCCGTGTGAAGAGAAAAAAATCTTATTTCACACTTGGGCTTTCTCTAAAACTTAAGTGTGTTCCAGTCTTAAGATTATTTTTCATTTGCGTTACCTAAAAAGAAAGTGGTAGTCACTTATTCGTGGTCAAAGATGAATAAAAACTCATTCTAAATGGTCACCTTTTTTTCCTGTTGTCTTTAAAGGGTTTTAGCCAGCCTTTTTCATTATCAGGCTTCTTTTTTTCACTGACTGGTTGGCACTAGTTGTTAGTTTCATTTTTTTGTACCATGAACTGGGCAAAATCTAAATTTTAGAGGATGTTGCCTTTTTCTTTAGAGTACTAGTTGTGCACATTTTCTATCCTGGACTGCACTTGTATATTAGAAGATATTTTCATTGAAGAGGGAAAAAAAATCATTCTTTCTTTTTGAAGGAATTTTCCTTCCTCTGTGTTTTCCTAATTCACATATTTGAGGCTTAGTAACGACAGATTGAGATTGGGCGGAGAGCTGAGGGGAGAAAGGGACGCGCTGATAGAGCAGTCACCTGCAAAGCAGGTCAGTGAGACTGAAGGTGGGTCTGATAGCACTGACTTCTGTGACCTAATGGAATTACTCTTTACCGACTTTTCTTTGTGTTTCCATTTTCTTCAATTTCTTTGTGTTTCCATCTTACTAATACCCAATTTAGTAAATATCTTAAGTCAGCTTCATTATTATAAAACTAACGCAAGAACTGTGTCTTAAACTTCTTTTAACTTCGCAGTACTTAGTATGACGTCTTGCTTATGCCACTCAACATTTTCTTTAATTTGATTGATGTTTTTAATAGCTGTTATCCACTTACAGGCCTTTCAAAATAGTATTCTATTTTCTCTAATAGCTGTTGCATGACCCTGTCATCTGGTACCCGCTCAGTAACCATGATGGCATACTAATCAGGCATCTCTTTGAGGTCACGTCATCTCAGGAGATGGATTACTTTGGAGTCTAGCAGGGAAGAGTATTGAATAAGCGATCGTAAAATTCAGGTTCATTTAGCAAATATTTAGTGAGAACCTAGCACAGGTTCTAGCATATATTGAGTTGAGAGAAAGGGATGATTAAATGGCTTTATGGAAAAGAGTTGGGTTTGAGTTGCGCCGTTGGTGTAAGTTAGGATCCCAGCAGACTGAGATAGAAGAGATCATTATGGGCCAGAGAACTTCCTGAACAGATGCAAGAGAGAGCTGGGTGTGAGGGGAATGGGAGTAAGTGGGGTGACATAATCAGGCTCTGCTTTTGAAAGGTTACTCTGGCAGAGGTGCACATTGGGAAACTGATTAGGACCTTGGAGCCACAATTTATATTTTTTAAATTTTTAAATTTTTTTTATTATTTTTTTATAGAGGCATATTTTATTTATTTGTTTGTTTTGTTTATACATGCACTGGGTACAGTCAGAAGCGCGGAGGGTGAGAGAATTCACCAGAGTGGGGAGCAGAGCAGGCAGAAGGACCGAAGTACATTGCCAAGGGGAGCAGCGGGCAGCAGGAGAGGTCTGCGCGCCATGTGGGACCCTCCTCGGTGGCCGGGGAGCAGCCGGGGATCGAACCGGCGCCGCAGAGGCTGAGGGCAGCTTCGCAACCCAGCGCTCAACCGCTGCGCCACCTGGGAGGCCCTGGAGCCACAATTTAGGGAAGAGCAACGGAGCCCTTAGTGAGTGAGGTGGTTGTGAGGATAGAAATGAGGGAAATGGGAGAGGTTATGATACTAGGCTCTCTAGGAGGAGGCAGCTGATAAAGATGCTGAGAGTCTCAGTAACTAGTGCTGGTTTTAAGCTCTTATTTCTGTATGTATTTCTCCATCTGTAAAATAGGAATTTAAATTTCTGTCTTTGTGGGAGTGTAGGAATTTGAGGGTAAAAAGATACATTGGCTGTGAAAATACTTCTGGAAACTGTTATCTCCTTCCCTCCACGACCCTCCAAAAAACTCCCTCCCCCCCCATTGTGGGGATAATGGTTTTTACAGGTATTCTTACTTTGTAGGCAACTTTCTAGCTTCGCATTGATTTCTGTTATAAAATAGAGGTAACTTTGCCCCCACTCTCCAAATTCCTAATTTGTAACATTGATTTTTGTAAAATGGCACAGTCTTTTCTAGAATCTAGATTCTCCTTTCTTCAACCACCCTAGTCTCTGTCCTCTTGTTAGATCTTAGGAACTGCTCTGTACCTAAGTACCCCAACTCCTTAATCTTGCTTTTCATCATAACTTAATTTTTACTTCTCCTTTTCATATTTTTTTTTCTAAACTAAGTCCAAGGTTACTGAAAACTCACAGTGAAGGTTAAAACTCAAATAAAATGACTTTTATAGCCTAGGTATTTGTTATCTTTGTTTCCACCAGTCTACAAGGTTTTTATCTTCTGTTTTTATCATGAACTGCCTGAACTTTGATGTTGTTGGTGTATAAATAGAATAAATATAACTTAATATTTATTAGGTGCTTATTGTATGCCAACATCATACTAGGTTTGTGCTATCCTTTGTAAGTACTAAAGTGTATGTGACATAGTGTCTGTCTTCGACAAGATTATATTATTTGAATTTCAGAGATAAGATTTTTCTCTCATGGAAAAGAGGATACTACAAGCTTCAGAAATTAAGCTTTTAGTGTAGAAAATTTAATAAGGAACAAACTGATGAGGAAAGAATTCACAGAGCAGATGGGACTAGGAAAATGGGTGCATAAAAAAGAGTAGGCAGGGCATCCCCTTCGGAATGGATAACGGGGTCATAGCTGAGAAGGGGCAGGTGTGAACATAGGTCTGTTCTGGGGGCAGGACAGACTTGTTTAGTTAAGAGGGTATTGCGGGCCTCCCCTGGTGGTGCAGCGGTTGAGCGCTGGGCTGCGAAGCTGCCCATAGCCTCTGCAGCGCCGGTTCAATCCCCGGCCACTGGCGAGGGTCCCACATGGCGCGCAGACCTCTCCTGCCGTCCGCTGCTCCCCTCAGCAGTGTATTTCGTCTCTCTGCCTGTTCTGTTCCCCGCTCTGGCTCTGGTGAATTCTCTCACCCTCCCGCGCTTCTGACTGTACCCAGTGTTTGTATAAACAAACAAACAAATAAATAAATCTTTTTTTTTTTTTTTTTTTAAAGAGGGTATTGCACAGTGATAGGGATGTTTGATTAGACTGGTACAGTGGGTTGGATACTTGGTGTTTAAATTTGACCTGAAACGCATCATTTGTTCAGTGAGTAAGTAGTGCCTACTATGTGCTTGACAGGGTGCAGGTACTGGAAATAAAAAAGTAGAAGCTTAGAGGGTAGTAGTGAAGACAAAGACTCTAGGAGGAATGAGTTGGGAAAAACGTCAAGATTGCTGGATTAGGACCTCCCCGGTGGCGCAGCAGTTGAGCACTGGGTTGCGAAGCTGCCCACAGCCTCTGCAGCTCCTGTTCGATCCCCGGCCCCTGGGCGAGGGTCCCACATGGTGTGCAGACCTCTCCTGCCGCCCGCTGCTCCCCTCAGCAGTGTACTTTGTCTGTCTGCCTGTTCTGCTCCCCGCTCTGGCTCTGGTGAATTCTCTCACCCTCCCACGCTTCTGACTATACCTAGTGCTTGTATAAATAAATAAATAAAATCTTAAAAAAAAAAAAAAAGATGCTGGATTAATCGTTTTGCTGAACTCTGAAACAAAACCCTATATTTTTAAATGAAGCTAAGATTATTCTCAATTTTTTATAAGGAAACTTCCCTTTTTTTCTTGATAGATGGATTTCATATCTTGATGATACTTAGCTTTTGCATGGAGGTTCTTTGAATATGTACTTCATGTTAAGGGCTAGTGCCAAGTCGAATGTGATTTACAAATTGACAAAAAATGTCATGTGTGTTGATCACCAACAAAATTTTTCCAGAGTGCCTTTTTGACCCGTCTTAGAAAACTTAGCTCATAACAGAATTGTACATAAAAGGAATATCTCAATCAGGTATGCCAATCTTCTGGTTTGGTGCTGATATAAACCTTGCTGAACTAATAACATTTGTGTTATTAAAAAGGAGGGGGTCCTTCTTTGAAATGAACTGACTTTCTTTGGTTTGAGTTCCATTGTCCACTTTGGTTAGACCTGTGTTTGCCACATAACAATGAATGGAAATTAAAACTCAAATTTATTAAGACTTATCAAGAAGAGGTATCCTAAAGGGCAAGCAGACCTGTAAAATTACATCAGATGGAAATCTTTTCATTCTCAAGATGATTTTTCAATTCAGAAAATAATTACGTGTGTATGTAGCACTATATTTAGAAACATTTAATTGACCAGTGTGGAGCTAGAAAGATTTTAGGCTGTGCAGTTAAAAAGTGTGTTTCTTGTTCTTTGCTTTTTGAAATTGAAGTATTATAGACATCATGAAAATACACAAATCATAAGGTTATTTCCTTGATGACTTGACGGATTGAATGTGGCCAAGTAACCAGCTCGTTTTTATTTTTTCCTTATTATATATAATGTTGAAATGGATTTGCCAAATGATATGTTTTTTGTTTGCCCCCCCCTTTTTAAATTATTATTATTATTATTAAAACATTTATTTATTTATTTATTTATTTGTTTATTTATTTATACAAGCACTGGGTACAGTCAGAAGCGTGGGAGGGTGAGAGAATTCACCAGAGCCAGAGCGGGGAGCAGAGCAGGCAGAAGGACCGAAGTACACTGCTGAGGGGAGCAGCCGGCGGCAGGAGAGGTCTGTGCACCATGTGGGACCCTCCTCCTGTGGCCGGGGAGCAGCCAGGGATCGAACCGGCGCTGCAGAGGCTGCGGGCATCTTCGCAACCCAGCACTCAACTGCTGCACCACCGGGGAGGCCCTTTTTTTTAATTATTAAGGGGAAAAAACTTCGTAGTATCTTCCAAACTGGTGCCTAAAGCAGCATATCACTTAAAATTATTTGAATTGTAGCCTGTTCGATACCCAGCTGCTCCCCAGCCACCGAAGGAGGGTCCCACATGGCGCGCAGACCTCTCCTGCTGCCCGCTGCTCCCCTCAGCAGTGTATTTCGGTCCTTCTGCCTGCTCTGCTTCCCGCTCTGGCTCTGGTGAATTCTCTCACCCTCCCGCGCTTCTGACTGTACCCAGTGCTTGTATAAATAAATAAATAAATAAATCTTTAAAAAAACTAAACAAAACTATTTGAATTGTAGTAATTTATTTTATTTTTGGGGTCCTTCATATTTGCATTGTCTAAGAGAACTAGGTCATAGTATTCTATTTTGCTAAAATATGTTGTTTACTAAAAATGGAAGATTCCTTATGTGTAAGACTTGGTTTCTCTACATTAGATTGGTATCCTCATTCATAAGTTTGAAATTTAGTCAAATTATTTAAAAAGAGCACAATATTGTTTCTATGCTCTTAGAGTAAATTCAAATAGGAAAAGCGCCCTTACTACCTAAGAGTCTGTTAGCTTTGTGTGAATTTGACCTAGTTTATCTGTAAACTGGGTTAGGCTGATGAACAGCAGATGCACCTTGGACACATCCTCTATGATACTGATGGTGGAGAGTGATGCTTAGAGATAGATTGAGGTTAACCAGAAAACTGAGTCATAGTAGAGCAGTTTTTGATAATGGCAGCCGATAAGAATGAATGCCACCCAGGGTTATCACGGGAGGTACTGCTTTGGAAGTTCTACTCTTTAAAAGAGTTCACATCCTGCTCTCAGTGAGTTATTCAGTGCTGCATGATCGTCTCTTCCTGTGTCTTTCCAGTTGGAATGTTTACATATGCTTCCAGGCAGTGTTAAACAGCAAAAGCAAATTGGCTCTTTACTATCAAATCAATATTTGTATAATTATACAGCTGAATGGCATCACAGGCCTAGACATCTCTAATATTAATCTATAGCTATTGGAGCATATTAAAGCTGTAATATTTGAATTTGCTGTTTAACGTCTCTGGCACAGCAATGCAGGATTCTAAAGGAGGCTGTTTTTGTTTTATGGTTGTAACTGTCCTGGCGTGTGACAGCTGCCCCAAAGGTATCTCCCTTTGATTGCCTTCTGTTTAGGGGCTTTCAGTGTTAATGTTACATCTGGAGCCAGGTGACTGATGAGTTACTTATTCCGTGGCAGATGCCACTGGCTATGCCAAAAGTAAGTGGCCTATTGAAATAGGAATTGCTCCCCACAAAGCTCTCATCTAGAGTGATGAGCATATCCAGAATCTGCTCCTGGTTATTTTCAGTTGTATTTGCCCATAGTTCAGCTGGTCCCTTAATTATGTATTTGGAGTAAAACTAACTAGAGGCCTCATTTATTAGAACATCCCCTACTGTTTGGTACTTGAATTATTAAAGTTTCCCCCTTCCCTTAGAATTCATTCAGCTGGCAAAGGACTTTGAGGATTTCCGTAAAAAGTGGCAGAGAACAGACCACGAACTGGGAAATTACAAGGATCTTTTGATGAAAGCAGAGACTGAGCGTAGTGCTCTGGATGTTAAGCTGAAGCATGCGCGTAATCAGGTGGATGTCGAGATCAAACGGAGACAGCGAGCTGAGGCTGACTGCGAAAAACTGGTGTGTATTGTTTTCCATGCTAGACCTGTGATGATGGCGGGGAGCATCATTTCACTTGCCACATACGCCCATGTTCTTTCACATTAAGGCAACCGTGACAGCCTGTCCATGGCTGGAGCTGAAATTGAAGCTTAGGAATCATATTCTTTATAATTTGAAATTAAAATTGTTTTCTCCTTTAGACTTAAATAATAGCCAGATTTCAAATGAGAATTTAAAGAATTCAAAGTATAGGGAAAGGCAGGAAAATCCAAGATATTGGTCATCTCTCATGCTACCCAGAATATCCTTATCCTATATCAATAGCTAGTTCTTTGTCTTGGTACAGGCAAGACAACTCTGTCTGCTTGATCACTATTTCTAATTCAGGACAAAGATGTATGCAACCAGTTGAGCATTATGACCAAAATAGAACACTATCATTTTTATGTACCAGAGTGGGTCATGGTTCAAAGGAAAGCCTTTACCAGAGAGGACTAATCCATCTTGCTACAGTGTTAGATGCCGCAGTAAGCTCAAATGGTCTCATTGTAGTGCGTCGTCACAACTTTGTGTCCATTTTAATTCATTTTGTTCCACCATTTAGAAAGGTGGGTGGCTGCTTTGAACCAAAGAAGCAGCCAGTAATTGTCCTAATATAGTGACACAAAGTGTTTTTGCTATGCAGAATCTATTTTGGGACTCTCATCTTGTAGTTCCCTCTCCTCTTGGATTATCAGTTTGATTCCAAAGTCTTATAGTGGAAACCTCACTATTCTAGATGGAGTTCATTTTACCAGTCAGAAATCAGAGACACAATCTGGGCTTGATGCGAATTAATATGCTATCGGTGTAGCAGCCTTCCTGAAGACTCATTTGCATAATGCTGTATTTTAATGTCTTCTGGTCTGCCCATCCCATAAATTTGAGGTGAAGCTTTCTCCCCTGGTTAGTTATGATGTTTTACTCTGCTTTGGTCTGTAGGAAAGACAGATTCAGCTGATTCGAGAGATGCTCATGTGTGACACATCTGGACTAAACGAGGAGCAAAAATCAGCTCTGGCTTTTCTCAACAGAGGCCAACCATCTAGCAGCAATGCTGGGAACAAAAGGTTGGGGAACTGCATCTGTTGTTATCTGATCACGAGCAGCACAGCTGTCAGAAGTTCTTGTTATCTGAACTCTTAAATATACTGCTTTTGGAATGTGTGCTGAATAAAGCAGAAAAATACTTTAGCGGAAGAGTGGGTAGAAAATAAAAGCACAGGAGCCTCCCTGTTTCTTTTGTTTTAATCTCTCCTTGGGATGCTTTCACCATGGGTGAAATTTTGATGTTGGTGCTAAATTGCTTATCAATAACCAATCCTGCTCATTGTTAAGAAATCTAAAGGTGAAAGTGGCAGTTCAGCAATACTTTCAGTGTTTGCTCTCCAGAGAGCCCTTGTAGCTCTTCTGGTTTAGAAAGGCCTTCTGAGAGCCAAGACCAGACAATCATTTTTGTTTCACTGCATCACTCTTTAAAAATAGTCTCATCCAGGCTTTGAATTTAACACCCCAATACAATAAATAGGGAAAGGTCAGCATTCTTAGAGCTCTTTATTTTGTTGCCTGGTTGTTTTATAGGGGAATCCTTATGACTAAGAAGATGTATGGACTTAATTTCTTAAAAAGCCAATATTAGGTAATACTCTCTCATGTAGAAAGCAACCCCAATTGAGATCAATTAAACTTTACTCTTCTGCCTTGTGAATTTTCAGTAGCTGTACTACAAACTTAGCAGGGAACAGAACCCATGCATGGCCCTGACTGTAACTTTCAACTGTTGTTATAAGGCCTTTGCTGAAAATACAACTTTTGCATGCACCCACACTCCTCCATGAAAATCATAAAAGCAACCCACTACAAATTAGGGTTTGACATTGTAGTTGTTGCTCTAGGAAAGATAGTGTTATAAGATTGCTGATGTTACCTGACCAGTGGGACTTGTTCCGGGTGTTGGTGAATTTTACTTTCCATAGTCTGTGTCTAACACTATATTGTTTTCACTCACCTAGGCTATCAACCATTGATGAATCTGGCTCCATTTTATCAGATATCAGCTTTGACAAGACTGATGAATCACTGGTAATAAACATTTGATCTCTGAGGATTAGCTACCTTTCGTATCCCTGCTCCTTCAGGGATATCTCTCCTCTCCTCTCTTCTGGAATTCCTTTATTACTGTTTTATTAGTTAATATGTTATAGGTACCAAGCAAACCTTTTAAAATATGTACGTCTACAAGCTACAAGAAACTGGCTTATATGGTTTTTTTGCTTTGTTTTTGTTTTGTTTTTTTGTTTTGTTTTTGGCAGCGAGAGGATTTGGAATTTAGGATTTGGCACAAGGGTAAATTTATTTAACAAATTGGTGAGCTGCATATACTGATTGACTGTACCTTATTGAAGCCCATCTAGCAATAAAAAAATTAGCAAGACTATCCAGACAGGATTAATTTGCCGTTCTTTGGGTGAATAGGCTTGTGTCTTATTTCTAAATTAGTTTGATTCTTGGGTAAAACTTAGTCATACCTCACAATTTGAATGAAACCAGTGGCCTAAAACTTCAACCAAAAGACTGATGAAAGTTTCCAGGCGTTATATAATGCTTTCTTCCGTTATAGTTAATGTGTCTAAACGCTTTGTTACCTTGCCTTTGGGGGGCAGCACCCTTCTCTTGTGGTATACATAAAAAGCCTTCTCCTGATGTTTCAGTCTTTGGTGTTCAGGAGACTGTTAGTTTATTGGCTTGTGTATCTTCCCTGTTTTATTGGCTGAAAAGTAGTAGAAAAATAAAACAAGAGATTGGTCTTCTGATGATATCAAAACAAGTAACTGCTACCTGTTACATGCTACTTTTATGTCCAAATTCAGAGTTTAACTAGAGAAGTAATTCCCATTTTGTAGATGGAATGTGTCTGGGATATATGATAATAATAAAACATTGTTAGTTGATTCTTAAGAGTGACTTATGATGACTAACACCTAAACAACTAAAAACTGAAACAACTTGCTAAATAACTTGACTATGAATCGAAGAGGTTAAATTTATTTAGCTAAGCTATTATTTGCTATATACAACTGTTTTCTAGGTTTTGTATTTTTTTTTTTAAAGATTTATTTATTTTATTTATACAAGCACTGGGTATAGTCAGAAGCGTGGGAGGGTGAGAGAATTCACCAGAGCCAGAGTGGGGAGCAGAGCAGGCAGAAGGACCGAAGTACACTGCTGAGGGGAGCAGCGGGCGGCAGGGGAGGTCTGCGCACCACGTGGGACCCTCCTCCGGTGGCCGGGGAGCAGCCGGGGATTGAACCAGCGCTGCAGAGGCTGCGGGCAGCTTTTCAAACCAGCGCTCAACCGCTGTGCCACCGGGAAGCCCCTAGGTTTTGTATTTTTAAGGATCCTCAGGAGTAAGGAATTCATAGGTAGCTACTAAAATGAATGCAAATGGTTAAAATAAATAAAGTGAATTTAGACCACAGTAAAAGACCAAAGTAATAATTATTCAGTGGTAAATGCCTTTTTTAGAGCTCAAGGAAGAGTGATGATTGAGAGATGTAAAACCTCACATGGAACTTTTTTAAGTGGCAGTATTATATAGAACATCTGATTAGACAGTTGTAATCCCTTAAGAGCAAGAATCATGCCTAACATGTTCAGTATAGTGCCCTAACATTCTGTAAGTTCTAAAACTAATTACAAAAATAATCAGAAATAAAGGACCAGGCACTGAAGATAATCACGAAAATAGTTGATCCTTTAACCTTTTTTTGTGTCTCCCTGGTATTGATTCCTGATTTTACTATAATAGCTTCAATTTTGGAAAGAAAGCATCCTCCCTTACTGTTGCTATAAACTTGAACCCTCTCATCCTTTTCTCCCCAAATTGTGTGTTAGGTAGTCTGACTCAAGTCTTTAAGGTTTGCTGTAAATATATTTGTACAGGGTTTAGGGAAGGCCTACCAAAGACAGAAACTAATGCAAAGAATTGTCAACAGGATTGGGATTCTTCTTTGGTAAAGACTTTCAAGCTGAAGAAGAGAGAAAAGAGGGTACGTATTTTTTTTTTTAATAAAGTAACAACAAAATAGTTTTGCCATGATTACTGCATTCCTGACATGTTGCTCTAGCCATTGCTAAACAGATGTTTCATGAATTCATGCTGAGGGGGTGGTGTTGAGAAAGTGTTCCTTGAGGTTGTAACTCAGGACAAAGTCCTGTTCTGTTTCACTGTTCTGTGCTGCATCTAGTGGAAAAGAATCTGTTGTGAATTGTCATTGGAATTTTATGCAGGACTTTTGTGCTGTAGTAGAAGCTTCAGATGAAATGTGGGTATAATGGGATATACAGAGATCTGTCTGTGTGTGCTTATTTAGGGTACTTATTATGTTTCCAGAGACTTCATGTCCTTAGATAGGATTACAGCTCAGTGTTTTCTGGTGCTGTCATTTAAATGTTTCCAGAGCTTGCCCGTTTCATCCAGGGTACTGAGGATATTTTTGTGTTGGTACAACTTAAGCTCCATGTGGATATAGGCAATGAGAAAGAGCACATTGTTTATTTACTGTATTCCTGGTCTCTTGGATTTACATCAAAGTTATCTCCTGGAATAATTTCATCTGTGCTTCAGCTCTTCAATACTAAAGTTATTGGTCTTTCTCCCCTACTCTAGCGCTCTAGTAGCCGACAGTTCATTGACGGTCCCCCTGGACCTGTTAAGAAGACTCGTTCCATTGGTTCCACAGTAGACCAGGTAAGAAGTCAGGCCAAGAGAATTGTTGTCTTGAATACACCAGAGATTAGTGACCCCAGGCATTAAAAATCTTGAGTTAACATTGCATTGTTGTTTTTTTTTTAAGATTTATTTATTTTTGCATACAAAAGAACTGGAGTACAGGCCAGAGGTGTGGGAGGTGAGAGGACTCACCAGAGACAGAGTGGGGAACAGAACAGGCAAACTGACTGAAGTACACTGCTGAGGAGAGCAGCGGGCAAGTCAGGAGAGATTTGCTGCACCATGTGGGTTGCTTCCTGGCTGGGGATTGAACTCGTGCTACAGTGGCTGCGGATAGCTTCATAGGTTGCGTCTTAACCCCCTGCGCCACCAGGGAGGCCCTGCATTGTTATTTTGGGAGATGTTTAGTGAGTTTTTCTATGAAATAGAATCCTTATCATTTATATTAATCTGATTAAGCAAACAATTGTCAGTTTTGTAGATGATTCTTACTTGCTTTTATTTGTACTTCTATGACATATATTTCTGGTTTAAGGTATGCCGTCTCAAGAGTGTCTTGGACTGGGACCTTGAGTTCTGACTAAGACCCATGAATTTTTCAGTCACTTCAAGAGGGGAAATTAGATTCTGTATCTGTGTGTCCTTCATTGTTCCTTTTGTTTCAGGGGAATGACTCCATTGTTGCGAAAACCACGGTGACTGTGCCCAATGACGGTGGGCCCATTGAAGCTGTCTCCACCATTGAGACTGTGCCTTACTGGACCAGGAGCCGAAGGAAGACAGGTCTGCGGGGTTTGCCTGTGTAAAGCAGCTGATCAAATTGGTGGAGAACTTGTTTCTTAGAACTCTTCTGAGGCAGGGAGTGGATGTGTTGGATAGTTTCTTTATTGCTGCCTGCTGAGGGCCAGAGCACGGTAGGCCTCATGCTTTACCTCTGGATTGCTCGCCTGGCCTTTTTTCTTGAAACAAGTTATTTTGTTTTTTTTTTTGCATAGCCAGTATAGTGTGATGATGTTTACAGGTTACTGGTTATAGATCAAAGTTATTGAAATAGTGGTTCAAGTTCACAAGTTAAGAAATACCTAGTGACACAGCTTAAATTTACTCCTTTTGTAGGTACTTTGCAGCCTTGGAACAGTGACTCCACCTTGAGCAGCAGGCAGGAGCCAAGAACTGAGACGGATGGTTCTGCCACTCCGCAGAGTAATGGAGGGATGCGCCTGCATGACTTTGTCTCTAAGACGGTAAATCTGTGGTTTTGCCTTCTTTTGGGCACGTTTAATTTTTCAGTTGTGAAAGTAATGTATATCAGGAATAAATTTAAATACTCTAGTGTTACACAGTTAAATATTGAATTTCCTTCCTCCTTACAGTCTTCCTCTGTAGGGTTAACTACAGGCTCTAGAAGGAGTATATCCTTCCATTCTGAGTGATACTAAATGAAAAGAAAGCAACTTTGCAGAAGCTGTTGTTTGTGCTTTTTATGATACATGTTTACATTTTATGCTTGAATATAACATGTTTTAACTTTGTGGCACTTGATTTCCTCATTCAAAAACAAGCAAACTGACAGGGGCTCAGGAGTTAACTGACTCCTTTGAGCCACATGTAATAAGTGGCAGTTAATATGGACATTTTCTTTTTTGAAGCCAGCAACACAGTTTATTAGGGAGCCACAGGACAAGACAATGGAGGGGGAGTGGGCAGTGTCAGGAAAGCAGGAGAGCTGCCCTGAGCAGTAAAGCAGTAGGGCTTTCAAGGTTTTGAATATGGATGTTTTCTGACCCCTTGTCAACAAGTTCTACTGTACACTACTCTACTCTACATTGCTCTCTTCCAACTGGTGACTGGATGACCTTACGTGAGTTACTTAGCCTTTTTGCTTCTGTTTCCCTATCTTAAAACAAAACCTATCTTGTAGGGTTATTGTGAGAATTATACATATATATGTATAAAGGGATTAGAAAGTTAGTTGGTACATAGTAAATGCTCATTAAATGTTGGTTGATGATGATGATACTATTCAAACTCATACCACTCTGTTCTTTTTGCCCTTGTTTCATTATCAGGTTATTAAACCTGAATCTTGCGTTCCATGTGGAAAGAGGATAAAATTTGGCAAACCGTCTCTGAAGTGTCGAGACTGTCGTGTGGTTTCTCATCCAGAATGCCAGGATCGCTGTCCCCTTCCCTGCATTCCTACCCTGATAGGAACACCTGTCAAGATAGGAGAGGTATGACTTGTGAATCCATCATGGTGTTATGGCTTCTTTAGCTTTTCAAAACTTAATGTCAGTTTTTGTTCTAAAATTAATGATGCCAAGTATATTTTCTTTCTTGAATTATGACTAGAAATTCCAAAATGTTGACTTGCAGTAAGTAGAGTCCCATTTGGGTATGTCTCTCTATTTAGTACCTTTCTTTTCCAAACTCCTCTTCCCCTTTCTCTCCTCTCTTCTCCCCCCCACCTTTTTTTTTTTTTAAAGATTTATTTATTTATTAATACAAGCACTGGGTACAGTCAGAAGCACAGGAGGGTGACAGAATTCACCAGAGCCAGAGTTGGGAACAGAACAGGCAGAAGAACTGAAGTACACTGCTGAGGGGAGCAGCGGGTGGCCAGAGAGGTCTGCGCGCCATGTGGGACCCTCGCCCGGCGGCTGGGGATCGAACCGGCGCTGCAGAGGCTGCGGGTAGCTTCGCAACCCAGCGCTCAACCACTGTGCCACCTGAGAGGCCCTTCTCTTCTCTTCCCTTTACCTTGCTATTCTATTTTGTAAAATTTCAAGCATATACAAAAGTAGAGAGATTAATATAACTAACCATTAGTACCTGTCATTCAACTTCCATTACTAATTCATGTCCTATTTTGATTTAATAACACTCCCATCTTACCCTTCTGACCTTGTCCAGTGAATTATTTTGAAACAAATTCCAGCCATCATATAATTTCATCTGTGACTATTCTTTCTCTTTTGTTAGAGGTATTCCATGCTAGGCCATTAAGATTAGGTTGCTTATTTGTAAAGATTAATTTAATCTATTAAGAAATTAATTATTGTAACATTAGCAAGCAACATTACCAAGAACCAAAAGAAATGAGTGTGCTGCTACCTGGCTCTCAGTAAGTCAGATGTTAAATTGTCTGTCCTCTAATGAAGAGCCATGGAGTTATCCATACAAGTAGGTTTGTGCAATCAACTGTGAGTTGTGTTAAGTAAATTTTCTTACTAAGAATAAAGTATAAAAGAAGTCTCCTTTTTGGAGTAATAAATTAGTTTATATTAAAGGCCATACCAGTGATCTCACCTTTACTTGTTTTCTGATGTCTAATATATGCTTTGGGAATAGGTATTTAAAAGTAGGTGTGATGTCCAGCCTGAGTATTAGTCTGGAGATGGTTCTTCCAAAATGGTCTCCATCTGCTGGTCTAAGTGGTATAAATAATAACTTAAATCTCCCCTTTTCAGGGAATGCTGTCAGATTATGTGTCCCAGACTTCTCCAATGATCCCCTCAATTGTTGTCCATTGTGTAAATGAGATTCAGCAGAGAGGGCTGACTGAGATAGGCCTGTATCGGATCTCAGGCTGTGATCGCACAGTGAAAGAGCTGAAAGAAAAATTGCTCAGAGTTAAAACGGTACCCCTCCTCAGCAAAGTGGATGACATCCATGTTATCTGCAGCCTACTGAAAGACTTCCTTCGAAACCTCAAAGAACCCCTTCTAACCTTTCGGCTAAACAAGACCTTTATGGAAGCAGCTGGTAAGGGCAGATCTTAATACTTGAATATGCATCCCACAGGGACAGGGATTTTTGACTCTTCTGTTTACTGCTTTATTACTTGCCTAATACAGTGTCTGAAATATCGTAGGTTCTCAAATACTTGGATGGATGAGTAACTATGTGCATGTACCTCATAGTGCCTGTCTCCTTTCTGTCTAAATTGTGTAGGGTATTGACAGGGTTTTTGGTTTTATTTTTTGACAAGTTTTAGGTTGTCCTTTTTGAACTTGGAGCTACCTTTGATTCCTTTTCCTTATAACCCACATTTAATCCTGTCAATAAAGGTCTTGCAAAATATATCTTCAATTTGAAATTTGTCACTCCTTCTATTACTAACACTGTATTTTTTTAATAAAAGATTTATCTATTTATGCATACAAGAACTGGGGTACAGGCTAGACGTGCAAGGGGTGAGAGGATTCACCAGAGTGGGAAACTGAACAGGCTGATCTACTGAAATACACTGCTGAGGGGAGCAGCAGGCAGGACAGGAGAGGTCTGCCATGCCATGTGGGCCACCTCCCTGGCCAGGGATTGAACTCGTGCTGCAAGTGGCTGCGGATAGCTTCATAGTGCTGTGACTAAACCCCTAGTGCCACCAGGGAGTCCCCTACTACTGCTACCACTCTTGACAGCTCTCACCCTAGAGTCATGATGTAAGAGCCTGTTTCTTTTCTTGCCCTCTATTGTGTATATGATCCTCATACTGCAGTAGCCAGCATGGTCCTGTTGAAATTTTTAATGAGATGATGTCCTTTATGTCCCCAGTATCTGCCAGTGTCTTCCCTTCATTCTCAGAATGAAATCCACAGTTGTCAGCATGGCTCCAAAGACCCTCCTTGATTTTGTCTCCAATATCATTTCTTTCAACACCCTTCCGTTCTTCCGTTTCTCTCCAGTTACACTGGAATTCTTGCAGTTCTGAGAACATAGCAAGCCTACTTTTTACTCAAGGTCTTCACATTTGTCATTGTCTCATCCTGAATTAAATATTTGCATGATTTTTTCCTTTATTTCTTTCAGCTTTCTTTTTGGATATTTTGTCCTCAAATCTGATCACCTTGTCTAAAGTAACAGCTCCTGTTACTTTTAGCTTCTCGCCTCTTTTATTTTATTGTATGTATCACTACCTGATAGATATTTGCTTTTCACATAATTCCTTCAATAGAATGTATGCTTTATCCTCAGCAGTTAGATAGTTCCTGGCACATTAAATGTGTTTTATGAACAAATTCCTTCTTGAAGATTGTAGTCGCTGCAGTTCTGTGTCTGCCTTCCTAGCAGACAGATAGGGTCACCAGCCTAACTGCAAGAGCCAGTTTCTGATTTCTAATATTGAGCTGTTGGCCAGTATCCTGCTTGTTAATGAAACTAAAGTCTGAGACAGTCATGAACCTAATCAGAAGTTTCAGAAGCTAACTGTATGGATGAGACTTTGTGGTCGATAACTTGGAAGCCCGCTGTCAAGGGAAAGGTGTCTAGGCCTCTTGTGCTTTCTTTTCATTTACAGAAATCACAGATGAGGACAACAGCAAAGCTGCCATGTATCAGGCTGTTGGTGAACTGCCCCAGGCCAACAGAGACACATTAGCTTTTCTCATGCTTCACTTGCAGAGGTGAGTACAGCATAAACTTATTTCTAGGAGTTAGGGAATTTTCCATGGGGAAGCTAATGTGGGCTGGGAGGGAATTTGAGGGGTGAATTGTTTTTGGTCTGCATTAAAGTAGAGGAGCGAGTCTTCTAATTTAATGCTCTTTTGCTTAGAGTGGCTCAGAGCCCAGACACTAAAATGGATGTTGCTAATCTGGCTAAAGTCTTTGGCCCTACAATAGTTGCCCATGCTGTGCCCAACCCAGATCCAGTGATAATGTTACAGGACATCAAACGTCAGCCCAAGGTAGGCGTGTGTGTGTGTGTGTGTGTGTGTGTGTGTGTGTGTGTGTGTGTGAGAGAGAGAGAGAGAGAGATAGAGAGAGAGAGAGAGAGAGAGAGAGAGAGAAAGAGGGAGGGAGGGGGGAGGGAGGGAAACAGAGAGAGAATGAACTTGTGTAACATGATATATGAGAGAAAGGTTTGAGGTAAGCTTTGGAAGTTTGCTCACATATTTGGTGACTTTTAGGTGGTAGAGCGCCTGCTTTCACTGCCTGTAGAATACTGGAGTCAGTTCATGATGGTGGAACAAGAGAACGTTGACCCCATGCATGTCATTGAAAACTCAAATGCCTTTTCAACACCACAGACACCAGATATTAAAGGTAAGGCCTAAGTTGTGCTTCTCACAGGACCCGACTCTCTCTCCTTGCTTTTGCTGGAGGCATTTGAAATTCATATTGTTAAATAAAAATTAAATTCATTCTGCAAATTCTAATGTTAAGGACAGTTTGTACAGTTCTAGTATCCTAGTATATGTTTTTCTTTTTTCCATGGTCTCCTTTTTTCTTTATACCCATATGGATATTTTTAAAATAAAGATAGAATAATGATTTCTATATAATTTGTTCATTTAAAATATTGTGAGAAATTTTGTTATAAGCTGTAATTTACCTAAATATTCTATTAGGTATTAGTGTTATTTTTCATAATATAAATGCTGCCATCAAAATTATATGTATATGGCTTTTTTTTTTCTTTAATGATAAATTCCCAGGGAATATAATCACTGAATTGAAGAGCTTGAACTTTTTTTTAGTGCTTCATGGCATGTTTTACCAACTTTATTTATTTATTTATTTTAAGATTTATTTATTTATACAAGCATTGGGTACAGTCAGGCGCAGGAGGGTGAGAGAATTCACTAGAGCCAGAGCAGAGAGAACAGGCAGAGTGACGAAGTACACTGCTAAGGGGAGCAGCGGGCGGCAGGAAAGGTCTGCGCGCCATGTGGGACCCTCGCCCGGTGGCTGGGGATCGAACCGGCACTGCAGAGGCTGCGGGCAGCTTCGCAACCTAGTGCTCAACTGCTGTGCCACCGGGGAGGCCCCCAACTTGATTTCTTAAAGCCTTTTGCCATTTTGTTTTGCCACCAACAATGTATGAGACTGGTTATATTCCAGCCTGACTGGCATTGGTGCCCTATTTCATTAACGAGAGTTCTTTTTTAAGGGAGCATGTTGGTTTTTCTAGTGTAGGTAAAATCATGTTCAAATGTTCTAGATTCGTATAATTTGGAGTTGGAGAATAGTGAACTGGGAAATAAATGTAAATTGGGAAATAAATGTCAGTTGCCTGCATGGTTCAAAATATATCCTAGTGTTTTACAGAGTGATGACCAAAATCATCTCTGAGGTTTTATTGGGTCTCTAACTTTAACTCTCAAGTATTTCAGAGTATTTAGCTTAAAAACGGCCACCTACCTGGGCACTTTCTTTCTCCCCTCCTTAAAAAAAATGTTTTAACTTTGAAGTGAGTTTACTGGGACCAGTGACCACTCCTGAGCATCAGCTTCTCAAGACTCCTTCATCTAGCTCCCTGTCACAGAGAGTTCGCTCCACCCTCACCAGGAACACTCCCAGGTATGTGGAATTGGCCTGCTTAGGAAATAACAGCACGACAGCTTCCTGAGACTTCTTTCCATCAATACTGAAGCTTATTGAAAGAAAAAATGAGTTAGATCCTAGCTGGAGACTAGACTTAAAAACAAAGGATAGAGCCACAAGGATGCCCCCTTTAAAGGGGCTCCAGAGGCCTTTGTTGTTTCCTATCCTCCTAGTTGACAAAGGCTGTTAGAATTTCAAGGGTTTCCTACTTCGAGTTGATTATATCAAGTAATGTTAGTGATTTGCCATTTTTTTATAAAGCACTTTTCCAGTTTATGTTCTTTCTCTTTAGATTTGGGAGCAAAAGCAAGTCTGCCACCAACCTGGGACGGCAAGGGAACTTTTTTGCTTCTCCAATGCTCAAGTGAAGTCACGTCTCCTGTTACTTCCCGGCACTTACTAACTGCAAGGAAGGGCACACCTGTACTCCGCTCTGCTACTTTTAGCATTCTTCAGGCTTTTAATCAAGTTAATTGTGCATGGGGGTTTTATTAAAACTATATATATCTTCCTCTTCTTCGCAAGTAATATAATATCAACACCTCGTGCTGTCTTTTTTGGAAAATTTTTGGGTGGCAGATCTTTACAAGGATAGAAGGGGAAGTACGAAATTCATTGCAGTTCTTTTGGGGGACTCTTGGGAGTTCTGGGGACATCCTTTGGCTTAAAGCCAAATCTTCATGGAATGACCTTTTTCTAGTGTTACTTAGAGCTAATTTCTGTGAGACAATGACAGAAGCCCTGCCTCTTTGGTAAGACTGATTTGTGTCAGGGTGGAAGGTGGGAGGGCAGGGAAGAGAAAGGTTTGGACAGAGGATTTAAGATGGCTCATTCTGAAAACTTGAAATTTCCTTTCCCCCATTATGAAGTGAAACTTCGACCCTTCATAAAATAAGATAGTGTGAGGGTGGAAGTAGTGATGGGAGTATGCTTAGCTTCAATTTGGATTGATTAGTGTTAATAGTGTTAAGTGGCACAGCCTCCTAAATGTGATGCCACAAGTTGTATTTATCTTTAATGGGCTTCTGACTGGACTTTGGGTTTGGTTGGGGTCAAAACCACTTTGTTCTGAAGTTGAATTCATTCTGATGCCTGACCACCAGCCCTTGACCAGTGGAGCCCCACTTACAAAGGTCCGTCTCCCACTAGGCATCCCAACTAACATTAAGTGTAGGCTATAAAGAGAGATTGTAATATTTTGTGTGGCAGGAAAAGTCATGGTCATTTTTTCTTTGCACTTCGGATACTGAAATCTTCCTGTGGAACCTAACCACAGCAGATAACTGAGCTTTTCTTCTATTAAAAGATTATTTTCATTGTCTATAAGAATGCTTTCTCCTACAGAATGCTTCTGATCCATAGTGACTCTTGCCTATAAAATACATATTTGGAAAAAAATAAAAAAGAATTTTTTCAAAATGAATGTGAGGTTGGTTTTCTTGTCCTGGAACTTCACCTTCATGACTTTTTTAGAAAATATTTTTCCTCAAAGAGTATAGAGCCTGTTGTTCATCTCATTCCCCCACCCCCACCTTTGTCACCACCAGATGTTTGTCTCTTCGTTTCTCATTTCAGCTCTTCCATTGTCCAAATTGAAGTCCTAGATTTGTCCTATGACTGCTATCCTCTTGTTTGAAAAAACTACTTTAAACACAAACCAAACTTTTTAAACAAGTCTTTAGGGACCATAATAGTGCAGATTAAAAACAAGAAAAACTGATGCTGGCTGGCTGGCTGCCGGGAACATCCTTCACTGCTGGAAGTGACTCTGGAGTGAGCTGGGATGATTAACTGAGGGCACCTGCACTTGGAACTCTGAAGCTGGTGAACAGAATGTATCTGAGATTGAACGTAAACAGTTGCAGGCTTAATATGTAACCGTGGAGAGAGGAGGCAACCTACTGGCTTTTTTCCCAGGAGGAGGCATCTCTCACAGCAGGGCCCATCTGCCTCAGCAAATTGACAGAGGGTCCCATCTCCCCTTCCCCGCCTTTACATGCACACGCCTGCTAGGTTTTATTTTTTTAACTTTGTCCTAGATGCCATCTCTTTTCTTGTATCTCTACATGCCTAGTGTTGGCCTGGTTCCATATTTGCTGTTCTGTAGTATTTCCCCAAGGTGAATTTTAAGTTGCTAATGTAGAGGAAATAAATGGATTATATAATGTTAGTGAAGGCAAGACTACCCTGTGCAGGAACTGATGGCCCATTAACGAAAAAGGAAATAGTCCTGTGTGCCAAATGTCGGCAGACAGTTGCTCGGTTTTTGGACTAGGCCGAGAGACCTTAGTCATGAAATAATTCTGATATTAGCTAAGGGAAAATATATACCCACCTTCAGCATTTTTAACAGTATATCATGTGTAACAGCTTGACTTTCAAGGACTTTCTTAATTAAATTATACTTCGTTGGTAGGAGAGCTATGGAAAGGGTTTCAGTGCTTTGGAGTGGCTGTGACCCCCATCTGCTGTTCCTAGCCTTTCTGGTGCTGCCCCTTATTCCACCTTTCATGTCGTTTAACTTTATTATCCTATTTGCTAATAACCAGATTCTTTAAATCCATTCTCCACATCAATCTGTATAAGACTCCTAAGTTTGATGCTTATTTGGTGATTATTACGTAGTTTGATTCAGCAGCAGCTTTGTTTATTATTGGGTATTAGAACAATTTTTCCTTAAGAAGGTGAATTTATTGCTTGTAGAAATTGAAGACAGGAGGCATCTGACTTCTGATTGGAGAGGACTGTTGATTTATTATAGCAATATTGATCATTTTGGGCTGTGAACTGAACCTGTGACATGAATTCAAGAGGTCTTGAATTCTTAAGTTCATGCTTAAATTACTGGGCAGCACAAAGTGATAGGGATTGCTGAGTGGGTGCAGGCAGCAAAGACCTCAGACTTGCTGTTTTCCTTTGTTCCAGTAGAGCCTCCCCACCCACCTCAAGCTTCAGATGGACACGTATATGTTCTATGGTTTCCTGTTGCAAGGCACTTAGGAGACCTGCAGCTGTGCCCGGCAGGCCAAGCAGATCACCTAATTGTCCAATACCTTTTCTTAGACTCAATTTGAGCAGGCAAAAAGCTGTTGTAGAGTCTGGATCTGAGAAGCAAGGGTGGCATAACGTTCAGTGTTCAAGTCAGCGCAGCTCACGCGGTAGGTTCTTGGTCCATGTGCTTTGATGGTAGTCCTGGCTGTGACCCAAATTTCAGCCCCTACCCCCACCCCAAAACCCGGTGCGGAAAAACTAAGCGCGCGCAGAGTCATGTTAGTCATTGTACTTTAGTGTAAACAGGGTTTGGAGAAAGGCCACTTAACCTAAGACCTAGGTAACTTGCTTTTTATCTGCTCTATCTGGTATATTTTGTAAATAAGTGAAGGCCCCAGGCCAGAAGGGCCCTTACTGTGTCTGTATTTGTTGATGGTTTCCATTCAGGAAGTCTGACAAAAGACAGCTTGACTTCACCAGGAATGTCCTTGTATGTGTAGGAGCCTTGTCCTCTGCAGTCATGTGGATTGAGAAAGGAGGGAGGCTACTTTTCAGGGACTTGGAGTTGGATTTTTCCTTTTGTCTGCCTTGTTCTATAACTTTTCATTTAGTTACATGTTTTTATACAGCCTTACTCTCACATCTAAGTCGGCACCGTCTGTGTGCAAGGCTCAAACACATGTAAATGGATAGTTGGACTTCTAATAAAGCACTCACCAGTTAGGGGCCTCCCTGGTTGGGCAGAGGTTAAATCTCAGTGCTATCAAGTGCTATCAAGCTGTTGCAAGAGTTCACTGCTGTGTGAGTTGAGTTGGATCCCCCCACTAGGGAGGTGACTCACATGGCACAGCAGACCTCTCCTGTCTCGCCTGCTGCTCCCCTCAGCAGTGTGTTTCAGTAGATCTGCCTGTTCTGCTCCCCACTCTGTCTCGGGTGAATCCTCTCACCCCCTGCACCTCTCACCTACAATCCAGTTCTTGTATGCGTAAATAAAAATAAAAAAATCTTAAAAAAAAAAAAAAGGCACTCACCAGTTAATATCGTCTCTGGTCACCAGTGAAGATGGAAGAGCTGAGTCCCCCTAAGCCCCTTAGGAAGTGTAATATGGTAATCTGTAATATACAGCTCTCACCACACTCATGTGCGGTGAGCAGGATAGTTGATGTTCTCCCAATCGAGAAATTTGGAGAGGTGATTTGGCTCAGATTTCCACAAACTACATTAATTAGAATCTGGGGATTACAGTTCCTACTCGAGGTCAGTGGTGGTGCTTGCTATTCCAGCCTCCAGCGTCGTGGGGCCCACTACTGTCAGACATGTGAGTCCTTTCAGGGCTCTGCAGATGTGGTTATGTACATTTGAGTCCCAAAAAAGAGCTGGTGGACCCAGACTGTGAGGAAAAGCATCTGGGACAGGAAATAGTTTAATGGTTGGCGTTATTATCTGGTGGGCTTTGAGACTTGGGCTTGGGGATCCAGGGCTGTTTTCTGTGGAAGGAGGAGAATGAGCTGGTGTGAGTGTTTAAGGTTGCTCCCAGTGGGAGTCTGTTCTCGCCACTCATGTGCATCTTGTGTGCTTCGAAGCTCAAAGCCAGAAACAGCCAAGTCTCTGAGCCAAAGCCATCAGCCTGCTTCTAGAAACGTGTCAGTGGATTAGCTTATTGGCTTTCCCCCTGAGTGGCATTAGCTCTCACCCCGTCTCATGTTCACCATCTGGCTTTGAGTAAGAAGTTTTCGAGTGATCTCTCTTCAGCAGCCTGCTCTGTGCCAAGGCTTTCTGACGGCTGTTCAGCTTTCTCCCTCAAGCCTAGGGTCCAGTACTCTCCTGGAAGAGGTAGTCAGTCTGTGTCCACTTGTGTGCACACCTGGGATCAGAAGAATACAGACCTCAGAGAAAGAGTAGCTCAAAGGAGAATGAATCTGCATGGTTAGTAGCCTAAACTCTGTTGTCAAAGCTCACGTGGATCTGTCCTTGGGTGAGTTTTTAAAATGGAGTCACTCCCGCCACAGAGAAAGCTCTTTCTATGAGATGATGCAGTTTGTCCAGATTTTAGCAGACAGATACTGAAGGGCTGGTATTCTCCTTCCTCCTTGGAAAGCAAACACTGGGGGTGGAGGTGCTTAATTGAACCACCTTCCCTCCTCCCAGGGAGCTGGCTGCTCTCTCCTCCTAGGTTAATATACATTGACTGGGGCTAAACGCCTGATGCTTCTGGACAGAGTCCAGCCCCTCAGCAGAGCAGCCGCACTGTGGAGATACAGCTGCTGGCATTAAAGGGCTAAGCCCTTCCCAGCTGCTTTGCTTTAACGGGAGCTGCCTGCACTCGGCAGCTTAACGGAGCTGTTTCATCCCGATTAGGAGGAAATGACTAATCTCGGCATCTTCTTGCCACACTGTCCTGGAGGCTCCGGGAAAGATAACTCAGTAGGGCGGGAAGTGGTTGGATGAATGGTGTTGGAGTGCCAGGCCATGATCTCAAAGATGGTGGTCCCGACTTGGTGTGGTTTGTGTTTTGCCTCTGAAAAAAGGCAAATTCAATTCAGGGATTGAATTGAATTGAATCAGTAGACCCCCTGGCACTGAGGGAAGGCGATAGAAAGATTAGAATAGCAAAAGATGTGCAGAGGAGTTGATTGCTCATGAGGGCCAATGGCATCCGTCCCCTTGAGAGGAAGGAGAAGACAAGACTCTGATGTGGCTCCCCCCTTGGACCTTCCGTTCTCCTTTTCTTTAAACACAGGCTAAAAGAGCCAAGATTTGAAGGCGAAATGATTATTTCATAGAACCTAAGATGCACTTTAAAAATGACTTTTAATATTTCTGAGAATTGGAGTATCTTGCAATCAATGGCATCTTATGAATATAATGCAGTGTTTTCCTTTCTTAGTGGTTCACAAAATAGCAGTGCCTCTTACAATCAATGGTGTTTGGCAGTGTTAGCTGTTTGTGGGAGACAGCCTGTTGGCTGGACCAGGTGTGGCAGCCAGGGGTCCTGCTACTTAGCTATGGTCAGAAACTAGATTAGGGAGTCCTCCACTCTGAGGGAGCTGCAGGGCAGGAAGAGCAAACCCTAGCTGCCGGACAGCCAACCTGGCACAAAGAGGCAGACAAGCAGTGTGCAGGAGAGGATAAAAACCCGTCCCAGTCCTGACCCCAGAGCCATTACATGTGATCCCTGAGTCAGGGAAGAGGGGGAAACAAGCCATTGTGAGTCAGTGAGGCTATGACCAAAATAATAGCCCCTCTTTGTGGATTTCTAAAATCTAATATAGAACTGAGACATTTGAGGTGCTTTACTTCTTCAAATGAGAGATTAGGGGTATTAGATTCTTTGTTTGGACAGGGAGCTGGGAGTGTTTGTTGCAATTCTTTGTCTAATTTGCTCACCAAATGCAGAATACCGGTGGGAGTCTGTCTTCCCTGGGAACTGAATGGCCATGGTTTGGGAACCAATGGAAAAAGGACAGATTGTAAAGTTAAGGAACGTGTTGCCCTGAGATGAGAAGTAGACTAAAAATATAATTTGCTTAAGTCTTCCTATTAGGGTTGAGAGAGCTGTTGAAAGAAACTGAAGTAATGTACTCATTGCTGAGGTAGAGGTGCCTGCGGATGCTGTGGGAGCTCAGAGGAGGAAGTTGGAGACTTAGAGAACCTCAGGGGTGATCACTCTAAAGCTGGACTCCAGGATGACAGCCACCTAGTGAGGGTCCAGAAGCAGAGTCTAGGTTGAGGAAGCACCTCCAGCCTGTTGCTTGGGAACCAGACACCCTGGTTTCAACCCAACCGCCGTCCTGACCTCTCCTCTAACCACAGCGGGGGACCTGGCCTGGCTGGGGCTTATGCCAGTTGTCATGGGCGTTGTTGGAGTTACTGGTCCCTGACTGCCTCCAGCCCCCACCACCAGCGCTGGTACTCGCTCCCCCCTTATCTGGTTTAATCAAGCTCTGAAACACTGTTTTGCATTTCCCCCTTTTCTGCCCATTAACTGCAGCCCATTAATTAGTGCTGTCATAAGCCCCCTAACTATGTCTCCCCTCTCCAACTTTTGCTAAATCTGTGGCTGCTCTCCCTGTAGCTGCCCCTCCCTGAGATGTGATTACAGATCTTGGCGGTGTGGACCCCCCGCCCCAGCTGCCCCAGTGGCCGCTGCTTGGCCGGATGCTTCATCCTGATTAGCCCTTAACTTCTCTCCCCCTCTCCTGCTGTCTCCCCCGCCCCCCCACACTGCTGGGGCCTGACATCAGCTGTATGTTAACATTTCTTGGTAGGGAGCTCTCACACCTGTTCCTGGGCTCTTGGCACTGCTTCAGGTCATAGACAACAGCACTGTGGGCCCAGAGGGCCTGGGGCCTTCCCTCCCCTGACCTAGCAGAGCCTCCCATCCAAACCCCAGTCAGCTTGTTCCAGAGCACTTGACCTTATCATAGACCAGATAGCACAGATCGTGGGTGTGCTGCCTCTTAGACCCTCAGCCTTCATGGCTACTCCCCTTTAGTTCACTTAGCTTTTATGGACATTCCAGATCCTTAAAGCTCTCCTTTTCACCCCGTCATCACTGTCTCCTTACCCTCATTGCCTAAATCTCCCCCAAATCAGCTCCCAGCCATGAGCACGCCAACAGTTTCTCCTTTCTGTCCGGAAGAGGGCCTTCTTTCTTGACTCTTCTTCCTCCGGGACCCTCTCTCACTCCCAGACTCTCACACACGCACACCTGCTTGGCTCAAGCAAGTCTGGGGCCTGGGGAGGAAGTGATCCCTTCTTTAGTAATGGTCGGCCACGACAGGAATTGTGGGGGCAGCCGTGGAGCTGTTGGCAGAGGGCGCGCGCCCAGGGGCGGCGCTAAGCACACACCCACTGCAGTTCCTGCAGCCCCATGTGAAGACCCCTGCACTCCAGATGAGGAAAGTGAGACTCAGGATCCATAACTTGTCCGAGTTCATGCAGTTCAAACTCTTTCAATCCCTGCTTTACCTTTATGTGGTCTTTTTTTTTTTTTTTTGACCTTGGTGCACAAAATCTTTTAGGTCAAAGTGATTTTCTTTGGAAAGTGGAAGTGTCTGGGTCATTGTCTTGCTCTTCCTCTCTCTGCCCAAGGATCCCAAATACGATCCAGAGTCTGGCCTTTTTGTGGGCTCCCCCCCTCGCACAGTGTGGCCCCAGATTAGACCTGCCCTCTACCCGGAGGTAGCAGTGGGGTGAGAGCAGAGAGGGGCTTCCTGCCAGCCAATGGGGGAGCCACAGTCGCGACTGTGCTGGCATCATCTGCTCCTGCTAAGACAATCATCAACATAAAAGGCTAATTGTATTAATCACCAAGGCACCCGTCCTGGCTCCCCCGCCCTTCTGGAGAATTATGAATTGCAATTGCAGATGGCTCTGCTGATTGAAGGCAGCGCTCAGCGGGGAGAAAGGCCAGATCAGATTACACACCATTAATTAAAAACTTCCCCTGACAAATGGGAGGGAGTGCACCCCAGTGGTCTGCTGAGTCGGGTCTCTCTCCTCCCGGTGCACCAGCCCCCCCCCCCACAGGCCCAGGCCAGTGAGGGTGCAGCCCGCAGCCCCCGGCTGGAACAGCTGAGACTTGGCTTCTCCAAGGCCAGCCCTTCCCTCATCCAAACAGATGGCTGGCTGGCCTAGTAACGGGCTCCCGAGAAGGAGAAGCTAGCCTTTGGTTACTCTCCTATCTCACTCTGGATGCTCTTCAGAGTCTAACCTAATTCCTCACGTTGCAAGAAGCCTGCCTTCTCTTGCTCTAGTCTCTTCTGACCGAACACAGCTTTAAAGAACTATTTGTGAAAATGGCCCCCAGCTTTCTCTTCAGGCAATCACCCTGAACTTTTTGGCCTGGAAGTGTCTGGGACAGAGGTACATAGTCTGATCTGGAGGTTCAAGTGTGGCTGGGCCCCTCTGCCGGGCTACCCCACCTGCCAGCGTCGGCTTCTCAGCTCTGTCATCTTGGGTCACTTGAAGTTGTAACTCTGGAATTCTCCTTTTGATCAATGACTACCTGCCCTCCCTCCCCAGCGGCCCAGCCTCCTTCATTCATCAAACTTTATTGAGCACACAATGTGTGCTTGGCTCTGGGCGAGAGGAGAGAAATTGTGTAGGAGCTTAAGCGCCTACTGCAGGAGCTCCACCCCCTGCCCTCTCCAACCTTCGCTTGCGTTCCTGCTTCCTTCCTTCCCCACTGCACGCTGCCGCTGTAGGAACCCCCTGGAGCTCTATTTTGGAAAATTCTAAGCTAGGAGCTGGGGAGACCTTAGGGGACTGTGGTGCTGAGCTGGGTGACCTTTAGCAAGTCAGTCACAACACACTCACACACACACACACACACACACACACCCCTGTCCCTGCTCATAAAAGGGCAGAAGGGAGAAGCTCTGGGGTCTGAGGAGACTGTGCTGTTGGATGAGCGGGGCCCAGTAGGAGAGAAGTGGCTAGATCTCTGCACCAACATCCCAGAGCACTGCCATGGCACAGTGGCCACAGGAGCCCCGGACAGACGGCGCCCCACTGCTCGCAGGCACCCCTCCAGCCCCAGCCCTGAAGGACTTTGGCAGCCCCTCCAGCCCCAGCCCCCCTGGAGACATCTTAGAAAAGGACCTGTCTGTTTTATGGATCTGTTTGGTTGCTGGATCTCCGGGTGCCATGGTGATGGGTGCCATAGGGATGCGAAGTACTGACTTTTATTGGGTTGTCTCTTCATTCAAGGGTCCCTCTCACCCCCAGCCCCAGGCCCAGGTTCCCTTCACAAACACACTCACAGAGCTCCCTGCTGCACACCCAGGAGAGAGCGGGCCCTGGTAGTGGCGCAGAGGGAGTGAGCATCTGCTCTCCTCCCTCTCAATCATCTCCCGCTCTTCCTTGTCCCTCCCCCCTCCCATTACCAGCAGCAATTGTGTTCAAACCCAATAATTACAGTAACAGCAACAATAATCATTTATTGGGCTTGTTTTTCTGGCATTTTAACTTCCAAAGACATTTTCCAATCTCTTGTTTGTTTCCACAGCAGTCCCTGCTGCGGAAGGATTGCGCCCATTTTACAGCTGGGAAGTCCAGATAGGACCCCGAGTGAAGGGCCGAGTAGACATTTACAAGCCCGTGAGACTCCAGTAGCCCTTTAGAGCCACTGGGCCACAAATCTCAGTTTTCTGGGTCATTCCTGAGTTCCTCCCATCCTTGGGATTTATTCAGCAGCTTTTTTGGGATCCCAGCAGAGCTGGGAATGAGGCTGGAGAGGGCTTCTGCCCAGGTCATGGTGGAGAGCTGGATGGGGTCTCTGCCCTCAGGATTGTTCCTGTGAACGGGGCTGTGGTGGAAGGTGAGCGAGTGGACACCGGGGCGACCCTGCGCTGGGAAAGGTGTCTGACGGCACCTCCCCCAACACACACTCTGCCAGCCCAAGAGAAGATTCTTCTGGGTGCCCACTCTTCCCAAGGGTGGAGGCAATCTCTGTCCTCAGGAACCCCCATCTGAGTGTAAAGCCAGAGTCCCCAGACCACACTCCCAAGCAGAGACCCCCCTCAGAGGAGCTCGGAGACTGTCACAAGGCCTGAGTCTTCTGGGAAGTCACCTCCTCCCCAAGGGTGGGGTGAAAAGTTGGGGTTCCCTGAGGTCCCTATAGTTCTCAGTAGCTAAGCAGAGTGGCTGTCTGGGCTTCAGCTTCCCTTTCTCAAAGACAAGGGATCTGGAGGCCCAGGAAGCCCCTATCTAGAAGCGCGAGGCAGGCGTCAGGACTGGCGGCCCTTTCCACCCTCCAGCAAGCCTCCCCCTCCCGCCACACCCCTCCCCGCCCAGGCAGTCCTGAAGTCAGGCCACGGAGGCTTGCCGCCCGCCACAGGACCCCTCAGAGCCGAGGGCGGCCTTGTTCTACGCTGACTGACACACGCTCTCCATTTCCACGTCTCCCGAGAGGGACTGGGAGTCTCTCTTCTGGGGCTGCGCCCCTCCCACGTCCTCCACCGCGGCAGTGCCCGTGAAGATGGCCAGTCGCTGGGCCAGGGTCTTGGCGTCAGGGAACAGGATAAAGTTGTAGATCAGCGAGCCCAGGAGGGCCCCTGCCAGAGGTCCCACCCAGAAGATCTGAGGAGACAGGGAAGTGGGCGCCCCGACCCCGGCGGTGAGCTGTCAGCATCCTAGGCTGGCTTTGGGCCCCCCACCTGCTTCCTGTCCCAGGAACCCCAGAGCTGCCAACAGCTTGAGAGTCACACATGTCCTGCCCCCGCGTGCCTAGGTCCGCAGGCTTCGTGATGCCCCAGCCTCCCTTCTGCTTCCCTGCTCCCGCCAGAGCCCTGGCTACCGCTGTTCCTGTCTGCTGGGGTATGTGAGTGTGTGTGTGTGTGTGTGTGTGTGAGTGTGCACGTGCGCGTGCGTGTGTGTCTTTCTGTTTGTCTTTCCTTATCCAAGTTTGGACACTGGTCCAGTTGGAGAAAGTAAACGAGGGAAGAGCTAGGACTTGAGGCGGGGGCTGAGGCTGCAGCCTGCCCTGGCCTGTTTCTTGCCAGTCCTCTGGGTACCCTGGGTTACCGAGGCTGGAAAGAAAGGAAGCACAATCCAGGACACTTGCCCCGGTCTTCTGAGTGTGGAGAAACCTCCCTCAGGGCCAAGATGGTCTGTGGTGGGGAGATCTGTCTCCCCAAGTTTCAGTGGACCCACTGCTGGTGAAGGCACAGTCCTTACTGCCCCCCACCAGGCCCTCTCCCGCCCCATGGCTGCCAGCGGGTTGGGGGGAGGCTCACCCAGTGCACTGCGAACTTCCCGACGATGACAGCAGGGCCGAAGGAGCGTGCTGGGTTCATGGAGCAGCCGGTGAAGTAGATCTGGGGACCGAGCGCAGTCCAGGTGTGAGGAGGCTGCAGGCACATCTGACAGGGGAAAACCTCTCTGCCCTGCTGCAGACACCTGCCCCAGCCTTAGCACAAGGACCCGGGAAGGGACACCGTGTGGCCCTCAGGGGCCCTGCAGCCTCCCCAGGGAGGGGCCCTTACACGCCTGTGCATGGTGTTCCCCCGTCCCTTACCCCGATGAGGTGGCCCAGGGCCACAGAGATCCCAATCATGGCGGCTGGGGAGCCTGATGCCTGGCGGCTGTCAGTGGAAGCAAGGACACAGAGCACCAGCTGCAGGGTGAGAACCAGCTCCACCGCCACTGCCTGGCTGGTCGAGACGCTGCTCCGCACCTGGGTGAGGGGTTACACCGGAGCTGACGGGGCCTCTGCCGGGGGAGGGTGACCCTGACCTGCCTCATCTCGTGTCCTCCCTAAGCGAGGACCCCTCCTCCGCCGGCTCTGGGACTCAAGATGACACTCCAGAGAGAGCGGCCAGTCCCGCAGAGGCGCGCGGCACCCCTGCCACCCCGATGGTCAGCGGGGCCCAGTGCTTCTGGAGGAGGCTGGGGCTCAGGACTGGTGGGGCAGGGCAGGCTCTGGGCAGCTGGGGGCACGCTTGTGAGCAGGCAGGGAGGAGATGGTGGGAAGGTGCGGAAGGGGGAGACGTGGGAATTAGGGGGAGGAGGTGAGATAGGCCTCGGGGTTCTGCGGAGGGAGGGAAAACAGAGGCGCAGGGGACCTGGGGCAGACTTGGGGAGAAGAGGACGAGGTGTTGCAGGTTCCCTTCCACAGTCCCCGTCTTCCCTGGCCGCCCCAACCCTTGAATGCCTAGTCCTTCCTGACCTCTGCTGCTCGGGGCATCTGCCCCCTTCGCCTCTGCTTTGAGCCATGGTCCTGCTCTGCCCGCTCCGAGACCACAGTCTCCGTCCCCTGGATCCCGGCTCAGCCCAGCGACAGCTTCGCCCGCCACCCTTAGGGCTGCTGGGGCAACCCGCCTCCGGGCCCTGCCAGGGGCCCTTCCTTGCACCTACCACGTTGATGCCAAGGGTCTCTCGGATGTCGCCTGGTGTGAGCCCATAAAGCAGAGCAGCTCCCGCAGTGGCCCCCGCCAGCTGGGCAGCTACATAGGCCACCGCCCGGGGCAGGGAGATCTGGGAGCCCACGAGGAAGGCCAGCGTCACGGCGGGGTTGACGTGGGCCCCGCTGGCCTTCCAGGTGACCTGCACGGCCATGGCTGTGGCCAGGTTGAAGGTGATGGCGATCTGCAGCACAGAGGGCAGCGCCGCGGGCCAGCGCATGGCGGAGCCCACGCCGAAGAACACGTACAGCCCCGTGGCCAGGAACTCGGCGAACAGCGCCTTGCTGACGGTGGACCAGAGCCGGCACGCCAGCCGCCAGGCCCAGCAGCACCGGCCCGGCTCCATTGTGTCCAAGACTCCGGGCCTCTCTCTGTTTCTCTTGCTCCGGATCGCTGACTTCTCTGGTCCCGTGTCTGGCCTACTGAGGCTGCCCACCCGCAGCTCCCCCACCACACTGTGCCCCAGCGCCGAGTGCCAACTGGGGAGCGGGCCGATGGGTTTATGTGCGTGTGGGTGGCTGGGGGTGGTTCTCATGTGCCTGCTCCACCCTGAGCTCACCTGACGGGAAGAAGGGGTGGGGACAGGGTGGGGAGGCAGTCTGGGCGCTGATCTGGAACCCGCCAGAAGGTTTCCAAGCCAGGCAACCTTACTGCCGTGGGCAGAGGCCCAGGCTGAGGGCTGCAGGCACAGGAGTGGCGTGGCATCTGATTCCAGGGTGCTCGGACCCCCATGTCAGCGTAGATGAAGCAAGCTCACTCAGATGCCCAAGTCCAAAGCCTGGGCATTCCCAGAGGCCCCCGTTCTCCTGCCCCTTCTGCCTGCAGCCTCTGCTCTCGCTATTCTACACGCGTGAAGCCCAGGGGAGAAAGGGGGCTCTCCCCTCCGTCCCCATCTAAAGCCCCACTCACAGGAGGAGGCGGCTGCAGTCAGCTGGGACAGGCGCCCGCGTGGGAGCAGAGGGGGCAAGTGGCCGCGTGTGTCTTCCATGCTAATCGGACACCATGCATGGCAGCGGGCACCCTGCTGCCCACCAGTGCCAGCCAGGAATTTCCACTGGTCCTTCACTCACTCCTTGCGTTTCCCTGCTCCCGCCCCCCTCCATCCTGGGCTGTCCTCCCGCTCAGGAGCCGGGGCAGTTCCTGTCAGAACTCACCCAGGGCAGCCTAACGGCTTTTCGCGGCTCCTTGGCTTCCACCACCCACGCCCTAGGTGCTCCCTCACCGGCCCCAGCAGGGTATCCAAGTGTTTTCTCAAACACAGGTGTCCCTTCCTAAGAAGCATCCGCCACGCTGTTAGAATAAACGGTCTTGCCTCTTAACCACCTCTGGTGCCCTGAGCAAGTCCCTGGCCACATCCGTCTGCCCCCTGGGTGTGCCCTGTTGTGCCCTGGCCCCTCAAACCAACCTGTCTCAAAATGAGATCTTCCTATCTCCACCCCCAAACTCGCTCTTGCATCCTCTGGTTCGGTTGGTGGTACCCTGGAAGCACCCCACTTCACGCCCTCCTGACCCATCCTGTGAAAACAGCAAGTCCTACTGGCTTTCCATAGCTGTGTTAGCTGTGCCCTCTTCCTGCCTTCCCGCAGCCTTTCCCCACTCCCTGCCTCTCCCCTCCTCTGCTCAGCAGTCCCCCACGGGTTCAGTCAGACAGCTTGTCTTTCCAAAATGCGAATCGGATCCAGCTGCTCCCCCACATCCGTCAAAGCCTGCAGTGCCCTCGGTGCCTGGCCTGCAGGGCCTCTGGGATCCTGCTCCTCCCATCACCTCTCCCGCTCCTTGCCTCCTCCTTGATCCTCTGGCCTCACCAAGTGGCTGGTGATTCCGGAACACTCGATGCCACTCCTCGGAGGATGCTCTCCCCTCCTCCGGGAGAGCCTTCCCTCGTCCTTGGCCTGGGGACACCTAGCCCATCCCTCAGGCTCAGCTTCCGCGTCTCTGCCTCCTTTTCCGGGCAAGGATCACTCTCTGTGTTCCCACCACATGCCGTCACCGCAGGGGTCATCAGGGTGTTAGTGTGATGTAGTGAGTCCCTCGGGGCAGGAACAAGTTTAGTTCGCGTGTCAGGCATAGGCGGTGTGCATGGATGGATGAATGAATGAATGAATGAACATTTCTTGACCTCCTCCAGGCAGATCACTTCACTTCTATTCTTTTGACCTTCTGGTTGTCTCGCCTAGGCCTGGGTCATCTGGAATCTTCAAGTAAAACACCGCAGCTCTGCCCGCAGGCTCGCCATCCAGTCTCCCCCAGTCTTGGCCACGTGAAACCCCTTCCCACCCCCTTGTTCCTCTTTCAGCTGTCCCGCCTGCACCCACTCATCAGCGGGCTCCCCTGGCATCTCGCTTCAGTGCCCCACTGTCCTGGCTCCCCGCTTCTCCGCCCCACCCACCTCCTCATTCTCATTCTCCTCCACACTCCTCTGCCTCCGGCTGGGCCGCAAGCACCGCTGGAGAACCTCGCCCAGCTGCGCAGACAGTCCCGCAAGTCCGCAGGCTCCCGGCAGGGGCTCAGCTCTGCTCAGTGATCCTGACGCCACCGGCTCACTTCCCCACTTGCTGTAGAGCACCCACTCCCTCTCCCTTCCTCCCGCAGGCCGGCTTGCTCCTGGCCTCCTGTCTGGTGGCGGCTGCCAGTCCCATTTGGGGTTCTTCCTCCCCGCTCCCCTGTCCTCTTTCTAAGGTGCCTGGGCAAGTCGTCAGAGTAGTGGAGAGACGTGGGTTTGGATTCAAGGTGCCAGGCACCCACCCACCGCCCTAAAACTCCTTCCCCCACCCAGCTGCTGAAAGTGCTCGGGCTGCAGCCACCACGGCTCCCGCTTCACCTTCATCTGCCCTGACCTTCTGTGACGTGCGCAGCACGCTGACCTTGGCGCCCCTGGCTGCTGCGGGGCACTGTCACCCCTGGCTCTCCTTCGTGGTCTTGGTCCCCCTGCTGGCATCTCTTCCACTGGCCCTGGAGCCGGCCTTGCCTGCTCCCACTACTGTCCCCCTCCCTCAGTAGAAGCGTCAGGGCGATGCCTGATGCCTGTCTGCGGCCTCCTCACCAGCCACAGACTCACCACCAGGTCTCCAGCCCGGATTTTTCTCCTGAACTTCAGACCCTGGCGACCGTGCCCCTGCCCCCCAAGGGATGGCCAGCCTGCTCCCCCTGCGCTCTCTCTGCTGAGTGGCCCAGCCGTTCACCCTGCAACCCAGGCCAGAACATGGGCGTCATTCAGGTACCTGCCCCGCCTCTGCTCACACCCAGCGGAGCCAGGATCCTGCAGCTCCTTCTCCTACCTGAGCCCTCGCCTCATCTCCATTTGCCACTGGCCTGTGCAGCTCTTACCACCTCCAGGGTGACTGCGTTAACTTCCTACCTGGACTCTTGGACTGTATCTTGCCCCTCCACGCCACTCTCCCCCCACTGCCAGGGGGATCCTTGTAAAATGCAGGGCAAATCACATCAGTCAGCTCAAAAACCTTCCTAGCTCTCCAGAGCCTCAGGAGCAGGCCTGGACTCAGGCATGTAGAGGAAGGTGCTCTCCCGTCGTCCATCCGCCCCTTTACTGGTCAGGTAGAATGTTGGTTGTTTCCCCAAATGAACTCCTGAGCCCTGTGCGTGCTCAGTTTGACACGCCTTCCCTTCTTGTCTCTCTTTCAAACCTGCTCAAGTCCAATTCCTCCAGGAAGCCTGCCCTGGTTTCCCTCTCCGGTAGAACCAGGCAACTTCACAGAGAAGTTGGCTCCAGCAAAGGCCATGGCGTGGCCTCCTCAGGGCTCCCTGCTGCATGCACGCTGCTGGGCTGGCTGGAATAAAGGCGTCTCTCAATACACACTACAGAATGAAGCAGTGTGGCTGCAGGGCAGAGTGAGGGCTGCTGGCCATGAGGATGGCCACCCCTGCAGAGGGACAGCTGTGAGGTCTGGGCTGGGCAGGAGCTGCTTGCTGCCCAGGCTGCACCAGGACAAGGGGCGCTGGTGGCCCCAAGGCCCAGAGCGTGGAGTGAGCGGTGGCCCTTGTCACCAGCTGGTTTGGGGCAGAGCCTCCTGGGGACACGTATCTGGCCTGGGACAAGGTCCTTCGTCCCCGGAGGGCAGGTGGGCATTGGCCAGGGCTGCTGCCGCTCCACCCAGCACCTCCCTGACCCAGCCAGTCCCGGGCTCAAGTGCCAAGTTTTGAGGTCACATATTGCTTAGAAGCATTTTGCCAAAGCCCCACACTTGACTGCCTACAGTTGCCTGTCAGGTGGCTGTGCACTCTTGAGACAGGAGGGGTCCCTGGACAGGGACAGGGACAAGACGGGAATCAAGGACAAACATTCTGCAAGAATTTTACTAATCCCACGGCCTGGCAAACAAGAATCGGCAAGCAAACCTGGTGACTGTAAGCCCAGACACCTGCTGCCGTAAATGTCCTTGGCTCATTTCCCCCCGCCGCCCCCCCTTTACTAATTTCCCTCAGCCTGGGCATTTTTGAGCTATTTTCCCACAGTTTATCAAGTTGGATGCTCTGAGGAAAAGGAGTTTAGAGGCCCAGAAGGAAAAAGGAGTCTCAGACCTTAAGACCAGACTGGCTCAACCTGCAGGTGCCGGCACTTGGCCTCCATGACACGTTCACCTTGGAGGTGACAGCCCTCACAGCTGTCCCTCTGCAGGGGTGGCCATCCTCATGGCCAGCAGCCCTCACTCTGCCCTGCAGCCACACTGCTTCATTCTGTAGTGTGTATTGAGAGACGCCTTTATTCCAGCCAGCCCAGCAGCGTGCATGCAGCAGGGAGCCCTGAGGAGGCCACGCCACGGCCTTTGCTGGAGCCAACTTCTCTGTGAAGTTCACCTTGGAGGCCCGCTGGACCCCCAAGCTGCAGCCGATTAGGCCAAGTCCACTCTCCTTGCTTCCTCTTTTAATTCCTTTGTTCTCAAACCCCAGTTCTAAAACCTACACAGACCCCACAGCCCCAGCGCCTCCCCATCTCTCTCATGCCCAGAGTCCTCTTTCCTGCTCTTTTGCTAACCCAAAAACCCTGGTTCTGGCCTGCCCTCGCCAGCGTCTGTGGGGCCCTCTTTTCAGTCTTGACCAGAGGGTCACAAGAGCCCTTCCCCAAGGCAGGAGCGGAACCCTCAGCCTGGCCCTCCAACTCCTGGCAAGTGGAGCCTGCTGGCTGCTCGGCTGTTCTGTGGGGGAGGCTGGGATGGACCCTAAGGGGCCCTGGGACCGTGCCCTTGTCTGGCGACGCTCTCACCCTCCCAGGAGTCTCTGCGCTCCCCAGACGGCGGGGCGGGCACCCCTGCGTGGAGGGGTGTGCGTCTGTGAGCTTGTATGACGGTCTGTGTCTGGGCCAGGAGGGTCGGGGAGCCAGAGGGAGGCGGAGAGAGGAAGGAACCGGGAGAGGAGCGGAAGGAGGGTAAAACTTGACAAAGGGAGGGTCCAGGCAGCTTCCCTCACATCACGTTGATGCCCAGATGCGGTCGTGTGGGGCCTCACCCACACCTGGCGGAGGAAGCTGAGCTCCGCAAGGGTGCGCGGGCGCAGGCCCTCCCCGCTGTCCCTCTGGACCGCCGGCCCCGTCCGTTCTGGCCTGGACCCCCAGTCCTGCTCCACCCCTGCGCCATGTGGCCTTGTCCACCTTCCTGCCTGGCGCGAACTGGCAGCCCTGGCAGCGGGCAGGGGAAGAAGGAAGCCTCCTAAGGAGCACGGAGGCTCTTCTGGGTTTCGTCCTCGGTGGGGGTCGGGGGGTCGGGGGGTGCGTGGGGGGCGGAGGGGGGGTGGGGGGTGACTGCGCGCGTGTGCGCTCGGCCTCGTGTCCGCAGGGGCGCGGAGCCCGGCTCCCGGGTGGGGGCCAGAGCCGTCCTGGGAGAGAGCGGGGCGGGGGTGCGCTCCGCGCACACTTGGGGGGGCAGTCCGTGCCAGCAGCCGCGGCCCCGGGTACACCTGAAGGTCAGCGCGGAGGCGCGGGGCTGGCGAGGGCGCGCTCCACGCGTCGGCCCCGACCCGGGCCCCGCGGCCGCCGGCCAGACGCCGGGCACAGCGCCCCCTGCCGGACCGCGGGCCGCCGCGACCCCGCTCAAAGCCCGAGGGGACCCCGGCCCCCGGCGGCCGCTGCCCCCGCCCCGAGCGTCTCCTCCGCCCCCGGTTCACCTGGCAGAGACGGGGGCCGGGCCGCCGGCGGGAGGGGAGCGCAACCTCCCGCCATGGCTGTGCACGGAGGCCGAGCCGGGCCCCGCTCTCCGCTGCGCGCCCTCGGGGACTGCGGTCGGCGTGGACTCGGGGTGCAGGAGACCCAGACCCGAAAGGCTGCCCTTTGCCCCTTCACCCCCTCCCCGCCGGCCGCAGTCCAGACCCGGGGCTTGGGGAAGAGGTGGGGGGGGCGGCAGCAGCCTCGGATTAGGTGGACGAGGGCGCCCCCTGCTGGCCGGAGCCGGCACGGACGGCCCAGCGGGCGGCGGGCCCGGCTCCTTTGCCGCGACCCTGCGGCCTCGCAGCCGCCGAGGTGTTCGCTTAGCCCGACGCGGGCCGTGCCGGGGCGGCGGCAGCCCCCGCTCACAGACGCTCAAGCTTAGAGGAGGGCTGGGGCACTGCCCCCCTCACCCCTAGCCTCGGGGACTGACCTCGCCGGCCAGGTCTGTGGCGTCTCCCAAGCCCTCTAGCCCATCCCTGGGCCCCTCTTTGAGGTAAAGCTGAGGAGAGGCCAATGCCGGGAGAAGCAGAAGCTCAGATTCCACACTCAGGAGCACAGACGCCCAGAACTGGGGTGTGCTGGTGTCCTGGGGGTGTCTGTGCTGGCTTTTCCCTGTAGTTTGCTGGGTTGTCCTGGCACACAGAGTCCCGTCACCCTGGCCACACGCCCCGAGGGGGATGCGCGCGGCCCCCCTCTTCAGAGGCGGGGATTGGAACTCAAAGCGTTACCCAACCTTGTGCAGCAAGATGTGGATTGGGGTCTTCGGCTCCGACCGACTCAGACGCCTTCCCGCGCCCAGGGGTGTCCTGAGAGGCAGACTTCCCCCCGCCGCCCCCAGCGCACCCTCACAGCTGCCTCCTCCCCTCTCTCCTGCGATCCGCAGCAACCTTGCGAGGGAGCCATTTTTAAGCCTCACTTTATAGTTCAAGAGATGGGGGCTCCGTGAATTTAAGGAGGACCCCTAAAAAGTATCAGTAAGAGCGGGAAAGAGCAGGAAAGGGCAGAGCTACGGGCCCGGGGAGGAGACGTGAGGGTGCCGTGGGCAGCGGCAGCAGACGGGATCCAGGGAAGAGTCCGGCTCTTCATCCAGTGTGGCTTCAGTGGGGGTGTGTGTGTGGGGGGGTGTCTGCTCCCACGGAGCAAGCTCCCAACTTGGCACCATTTTGGAACACAAGGGTGTCCGGGACTGTGCCTCCTCCCTGATGACAGACCTGGCTGGTCACCCTCTTGGCATCTCAAGGGGCTGCTGGTTCATTTCTCCTCCACCCTGCATGGCACACCCTGGCACTGGTGCCAGGCCCTCCTCTTGTGGCTGGGACTTGACATAGCTAAAGTGGGAGGGGCGAGCAGGTGGATGACAAAGGGAAGGGGACAGCCCCTCCTTCTCTGCTCCCACTGCCCCCTCTTGACTTCCAGCTGTTTCTGTACTCCTCTCCTCCATCTCTCCCCGCCCACATCTCTGACTCTCGGCCTCCCCTGGCCTCAGCTTCCCTGTCTTTCTACAGAGAGCCTAGGGGACCATGGGGGAGGGTGTGGGATGGTGAAGAGGAGAGAGAGGCGATGAACCAGAGGGTCCCAAGGAGAAGCTTCTGGAGACAGATGCAGAACGTGAATGTCAGTGATTTATTGGGAAGCCCCCACCCCAAACACCAGCAGTCCTACCCCAGAAACCAGAAATAAATAAGGTGGTTTTCAATCACCCGGGCTGTGTCCCTCCTAAGGAGCTTGGGGGAGGGCTAGCCTCTGCTGTCCGAGGGACAGGGGTCCATCTGCCTCTTGAGGAGGTGGGGAGGGTGGGGGGAGCACACTGCAGGACATCCCTTTCCGGCCTGGCCCTGGGGCAGCCTGCAGATATGGCACGGTGGTCACAGTCCCTGAGGTCTCACCTCACTCGGCAGCCTGTCCTGTCCCAGAGAGACCCCTCCCCCCAGCCCCCAGCCCCTGGCTCCCATCCCTAACTGCAGCCTGGGGAGCCAGCACCGTCTCCCCAGCCCAGAGGACCCAGCTGAGGGGGGAGGAAGCGTTGCTCTGCTATTTTTCTCGTCCCCCCTGTGGTTCGGCGGCTGAGGGGCTGGCCCATGTCTGACTCCGGTCAGTGGGCTGTCAGCTCCATGGTCTTCTTCCGCTCCTCCCGGTGCTCCTCCCAGTCCTCCTCGGGCTCGTACGTGCCCTTGACAACAGCCACGCGCTCACTCATGCTCAGAGAGTTGGGGAAGAGCAGGTAGAAGTAGAGGATGGCCGCCAGGGCAGCTCCCACGATGGGCCCCACCCAGAAGACCTGGTGGAGACAGGGCAGCGGGTCAGGGGGCAGTGCCACAGGCCTCAGAGAAAGACCTCCCCAGCCCCAGAGGACAGGCCCACGAGCCCTCAAAGGAGCAGACATGTAACTTCCAAGTCTCCAGAGGGAAAGACTTCCTCTCACCCTGCGAACGGATAGGCTGACACCCCAGTCCCCAGTGACAAGGGCATGAATCTCAGACACCCCGAGCCTCAAAGGCAACAGACAGACAGATCTCCAGAGGAACAGATTTCCTCCAAGTGCACCCCAAAGAAAGACAAATGAACTTCCAGAAAACAGACAGAGCCTTAGAGAACGCCTCTCCCTCCCACGCAGGGATGGGGGCACCATGGGGAGAGGCCGTGAACTCTCAACGGAGGTCACAGCTTGTCCAGAGGGACAGACCACGGGAAGGGAGCTGCTTCCACTGTTGTAAGTAAAACATCAGAGAGGACAGATCTCTGACCCTCAGAGACCAACACAGGGGCACAGCTCCCCTTCCCTAGAAGGAGAGACACACACAGCCGCCCCGTCCCAACCAGCGACCCTGTTCCTGGGGGCTCAGTCCCTCCAACCCTACCTTTGCCCTTGCTCGCCTGCATCCCATCCCTACTTCCCCACCACTGCCCCCTGAGCCCACCCCCAAGATTCTGGGCCCCAGCATCCAGAAAGACCATTTAGCTACTGGCTTCGATGGGCTGGCCTGGGTTTCCGGACCCTCACTGCCGGGGGGCCAGGGAGGCACAGACTCACCCAGTGTGCGGGGCTGAACCGCTTCATGACCACGGCAGGCCCGAAGGAGCGGGCTGGGTTCATGGAGCAGCCGGTGAAGTAGATCTGGACAGAGAGGAAGGTGGTGAGGAAGGCAACACACTTGTCCTCTCCCAGAGCAGCCCGGATTCTCCCTGGGTCACATATCAGTCCAGGGACTCAGCCAGGTCGCAATTCAAGTCTCCTGACCTTGAATTCCTAGGCCGAGACCCCCTCTCTCGGCGGGTCCCCAGGCACCGGTCCTCTTCCTCTGTCCTGAGCTTGGACTCGATTTCCTGCTCTACCTCAGTGCCCACTTACTCCTGGCTTTCCTCGAACTATCAAATGTTTGGAGGGCTCTGGCCTCCCTGGTGGCCCAGGGGTTACATCTCAGTGCTATCACCGCTTCTCCCTGAGTTCAATCCCCAGCCAGGGAGCTGACCCACATGGGGCAGCAGACCTCTCCTGTCTCGCCCGCTGCTCCCCTCAGCAGTGGATTTCAGTAGATCCGCCTGTTCTGCTCCCCACCCTGTCTCTGGCGAATCCTCTCACGCCCACCCCCACCCCACACGTCTGGCCTGTAACCCAGTTCCACACAAAATAAATAAGGTTTGGGGTGCTCAAGTCTGGGCCAGAATCTAACAGTCCCACTCTAGACCTTAACTGTGGGGTTTGTTGGTCTGGAGAGGTTCTCCTTTGGGGTTCCCATTATTTGCCCTGAGGCTCTCCCCGCCACCCCAGCTGAATGGCACGCCACTCACCCCCACAAGGTGGCCCAGTGTGACGGACAGGCCAATGGACAGAGCAGGGGAGCCCACAGGCCCCGTGCGGCGGGAGTCGGTGGAGGAGAAGATGCAGAGGGCCAGCTGGAAGGTCAGAATCAGCTCCACCACCACAGCCTGCCCCGGCGTCGTGTTGTTATTGAGCTGCAAGCAGAGGCTGGGTTAGGACCCCTGCCTTCTTCTGGCTCTATATCCAGGGCCTTGGGGGATGTGGGTTTTGGCCTCCAAGGACACTGAGAACCTGAGCACCTGGGAGCTAAGCCCTGTGCACGTCACACCAGGGAGGTCATTTTCCAATGAGACCAAACACGGTGTGCACAAAGCTTGGGGCCCAGACCTGTGGTGGGAGGATCCATGTGAGGAGAGCTTTTCCTGGACACAGTCCTGTCAACAGCTCTACCTGGTCCCCAACCCCCACAAACTGGAATTTACCCTCCCTCCGATGGGCAGCTGCCCAGTTTGCCTGCTGTACCCCCAGCCCGCCTCCCGCCCGTGCCTGACCTGCTGCCAGAGCCAACCTCAAACCCGTCTCTCCAGTGGGGCTGACTCACGGCTTGACAATGGCCGAGAAAATCCTCCTCTGTGTTTGATTAATGAACCCAGTTTTCATGAGAGATGGGGCCGATTCTGGGGCTGGGGTGGGGGGAAGGGGCAGGGGCCAGGAGCAAGAACAAAATATTTAACAGAGGCCCTGCACTGGCCCTGAGTTAGGGGGTGCACATGTGTGGGTTCTAAATGCAACCCCCTTGACACCTGCAGTGGGGTTATGACCACATCCATGTAATGGCTACGAAAATAAGATCTAGGGGGACCGGGTCTGCCCAGCCAGATCATCACTCATCTCTTTGTGGTGGTTCCGTGAAACCTCTCCCCCTGGGAGCCGAGAACGGGGTGAGGGTCGGAGAGGAAGGCAGAACGCAGAGGTGAGAATGGAGACGAGAGAGATGTCTCAGGTAAGAGACAGCACCCCGGGCGGGTCGTGCGGGGAGGCAGTAGGTGCCAGGACAGAAGCCAGGACAGAAGGCAGGACGGCAGCAGGAGGCCGGGAGCGGTCCCATATGGACCGGGGAGCAGGCGGAGGGCGGCACCCTGCTGGAGTTGGCTTTCCGATCACAGGAGGATCCTCTTCCTGGCAAAGGTGTGCACAGGCCCACTCTGTGGCACCCATTCTTGGGGTATGGGGACCTGGTCCCCAGGACACCCCAGGGGCCCTGCCCCCTCCCACCCCCCCCACTGGGCACTCACCGCGTTGACAGCCAGATTGCCCCGGGCATTGAGCGGAGCCAGCCCGTACAGGATGCCCGCGCCCGCGATGGCGCCCACCAGCTGGGCCGCCACGTAGAAGGCGGCGCGGAGCAGGGAGATCTGGTTGCCCACAAGGAGGGCCAGCGTGATGGCGGGGTTGATGTGGCCGCCGCTCACGGGCCCCAGCGCCTGGGCCAGGGTGCCGATGGCCAGCCCAAAGGCCAGCGAGATCTGCAGGATGGTGGGCAGCGCCGAGGGCCACTTGAGGGCCGAGCCGAGGCCGAAGAAGACGAAGATGAGGGTGGCCAGGAACTCGGCGAACACGGCCTTGAGGAAGGCCACGGAGCACACCTCCTTCTTCATGCTGGCGCCCGGGGCCCGGCGGCGGCCGCGGCGGGGGGCGCCCGTCGGGGCGGCGGGGGCGCGCGGGGTCGGCCTCCCGGGGGCTGCGCGCGCGTCGGCGCCCACTGCGCGGCTGGCGGCCTGGCGCGGGCCCGGCGGGGGCGCGCTATATAGAGGGCGGGCGCCCCGGAGCGGGCCGGCGGCGGGGGGGCAGGGGGCGGCTCCCGCGCCCGGGGGCCAGCGCGGCGCGCGGGAGGGACCTCGGCGGCCGCCGGGAGCGCCCAGCCGCCCCGGGCCGGGGGCGCCCCCGCGCCGCGCCCGCCCCCCCGCCGGGAGGGCCGCCGGCGCGCGCGGGACACGTGACCCGGGCCGCGGTGTAGACCGGCCCGGGCGCCGGGGGCCCGCGCATGGTGCGCGCCGGAGGCTCCCGCGCCCGGCTCCCGCGAGCCCCGCCGGGCCCCGACGCCCGTCCTGCCGACCTCGGGGCGGGGGCCCCTGCCGGGCCTGGGTTCCGTCAGAAGTCTCTTCCTTTTTTCCTCTTGGGGCCTGGGTCCAGCGCGTCCTTTTCCTCCTGCGACCCGGGCATCCTGACCTGTCCCCAGTCAGGCCTGCAGGGCTCTGCGCCCCGGGAGGCTGCGCCGCTCGGCTCCCCGCGGCCGCTGCGGGGGCGGACGGCCGGGCTGGGCCGTGCGGGGCGGTACGCGCCGTCTGGCCTCTCCCGGTCCGGCCAGGCGGGCCTCTGGGGTTGGAAAAGTGGGCATCGTGCCAGCCTGCCCCGCGCTTGGCAGTCCCCCCACGCCCAGCAGCCGGGCCGGGCAGCGCGCTTCTCTTGGGGGATCCCAGTGAGTCCCCAAAATGGGTGGGAGCCAGGAATTTATCTTGTCCATAGGACAGGAGGGGAGGGCAAGAGCGGGTTGGGTTCTGTTTGGGGTCAAGAAAAAGGCCTTGGGCCGGGGAGTAGGAGGGGGTCAGAGTGGGGTGCACTGAGGGTGCAGGCGCAGCACCGACATCCTAAGTCCAGTGTTGACCTCCCCTGGAGCACGAGTCTTTCTCCTACTCTGTTACCCCACTCCCCCTGCCGGGGAGGTTGAAAAAACATTTTTTTTTTTAAGATTTATTTTTCATTTACTTATGCATACAAGAGCTGGGGTGCAGGCCAGAGGTGGGGGGGTGAGAGGATTCACCAGAGACAGAGTGGGGAGCAGAACAGGCAGACTGACCGAAGTACACTGCTGAGGGGAGCAGCAGGGGAGACCGGAGAGGTCTGCGGCGCCCAGGGGTCAGCTCGCTGGCAGGGGATGGAACTCAGGCTGCAGTGGCTGGAAGTAGCTTAATAGCACCGAGACTGTAACCCCTGCACCACCAGGGAGCCCCCACCCCTCTGGCAATCTTGCTGCCGCTCTTTCTTCCCCTTAGTCTCTTTCTCCATACCCTGTCTTTTGGTCTCTCTCTCTCTCTCTCTCTCTCTCTCTCTCCCCCTCACTTCCTTCTCTGTGTTTCTTTGTCTCTCTCATTTCAGAATCAATCAGTCTCCGAGGCTCTTTCTCTCCATCCATCTCTTTTTTTCAATTTCCCTGTTGTTACCTCCCTGCCCCCCAGTCTGGGCCTTAGTCTCTCTGTCTCATCCTCTGTTCGTCTTTCAGTATCTGTTTCAGGATTCCCATCTTTTTAAATTTCTGCGACTTTTCGTTGTTGTCTGTCTTTATCTCCCTCTCTTACATGTGGTCTTGTCCGGTCTAGTCTCCCCACCCTAGGACTGGGCAATATTTTCTCCAGTTCCCAACCTGTTTCCTCCTGTCCTGGCTCCTTCCCTCTGAGCTCCCAGCCTCTCTCCACCTGCCCCTCCCCACCCCCAGGTTAGGCACGTCGGGAATGAGGCTGGAGGACCCTTCAGGGCTTGGAGGAAGGGCTGACCGGTCCCAATGATCCCAGGAGTGGATCTACACTAGGGACAACCCCCCACCCACCAGCAAGACGTGTCCTTGGGAAGTACTTAACACGGTGCCTGGCATGGAGTAAGTTTTAGTAAAGTTTCTTCCTGTTAGGACTGATTTAAAAAGTCCCCTGAGGGCTCTGTGGGGCTCAGCTGGAGGGTGCAGCAGCGGGAGAGAACAGGTGTCTCTTCTGTGAGTCTACAGGCAGGGGCTAAGGGGAGGGCCCCGGAGGGAAGCCAAGGGCCTGGCTCTGAACTCGGTGGCAGCTAAGAGGCCAAAGAAAACAGGGACCAAAGAAAACCCCGCTATTGTTCCTGCTCCGGTTTCCTGCTGGAGCCACTCACCCCCCCCCACCCCCCCACCCTGCAGCTCTCCTCTTAAGGCACGAGGTCTGTCTGCCCTTTCTGCTACCAGAGAGCATCGTGGAGGCAGCAGCTAGGTACAGGACTGTCCCCTGGGCCTGGGCTCAGGGTTCTGGCCGGCCTGGCCCAGACTGGAGCAATGATCTTAAGGATGCCAAAGGCCTTTGAGGGCCAGGCCCCTCGCTGTAGAACTTGCCCGCACCTGCACCTTTCCACCTTCTCTTCCAGGCACCGTCTTCATGAATTCCCACATCTCCAACTCCATGGTCGTGGAGGGATTTGGCAGTGCTCACAGGAGACTGGGCCCCCAAGGTCTGAGCCCGACTCTTGCCAGTTAGCAAAGGGCTTTGGTCTCCACTGTGTGACTAAATTCTCAGCTAAGGAAACCCAGACCCGGAGGTTACCACCTTGCGCAGGATCACACTGTGACCTCAGTTGGGATCCACAGGCAGCAGGAGTGGGCTTGGTGGAGCTGAAACTTAGCTGATCTAAGTTTCTCAGAGGAGGCAGCGGATTACATTTCTGAGGCTGGTGTTTGGGGCCATTCCTGGAATTATCTTTTTTTTTTTTTTTTGTAGAGGCATGTTTATTTATTTATTTATTTGTTTGTTTGTTTGTTTGTCTGTTTTGTTTATACAAGCACTGGGTACAGTCAGAAGCGCGGGAGGGTGAGAGAATTCACCAGAGCCAGAGCGGGGAGCAGAGCAGGTAGAAGGACCGAAGTACACTGCTGAGGGGAGCAGCGGGCGGCAGGAGAGGTCTGCGCGCCATGTGGGACCCTCCTCCGGTGGCCGGCGAGCAGCCGGGGATCGAACCAGCGCTGCAGAGGCCGCGGGCAGCTTCGCAACCCAGCGCTCAATGGCTGCACCACCGGGGAGGCCCAATTCCTGGAATTATCTTTGGCCTCAGCACTTGGGCACTGCTCTGCCAGACTCCAAGGAATGCTTCCCTGGTAACTTTCTGGGTTGGAAGATGAGTCTCCCCATTTGTGGCAGGGGGAATTGGACTCCTTGAGGCATTCTCTTCTCCCCTGATATGGGAACCCCTGTTTTTCCGGGAGCAATGAAGTGTTGGGGGTAGAAATAGTAGGGTAATTGGCAGCAGGTGATACCCCAGAGGCTATCCCCAGTATTGGGGATGAGTTATTTATTCATTCATTCCAAAAGATTTATTGAGCAGTTGCTATGTACCGGGCACTGTTCTAGGCACTGGTGATACAGCCATGAGCTAGCAGGAAACATCTCTGCCTTATGGAATTAATGTTCCAGTGAAAGGAGATGGACAACAAACAACAGATGTATATAAATTACACAGTACAATAGAATGTGGTAAGAGCTATGGAAAAATAGAATTTTTTTGAGATTTTATTTTATAGATATATATTTATTACATCATCCTTCATTTTTGTACATTGTATGATTTCCCCGTGAAATTCCCACCACCAATTCACCCGTGCTCCATCACCACAGTCCTTTGTGCTCTTCCCACCCCTGTCCTGATCCCTCTCCTTCTCCTCCCCTACAGAATGTCTCTGGTCTATGGTTGCCTGTTGATTTTGATTTTTACTTTATTATAGTTATTTTTTCTTCCTGAGCCCTTACTTGGTTCCTCCTATAAGTGAAACCACCTGATGTTTTTTTCTTTCTGGCTTATTTCATTGAGCATAATCCCGGCTCCATCCATGTTGCTGCAAATGGCATACATTTATCCTTTTTGATTGCTGAGTAATATTCCATTGTATATATATGTGTGTGTGTGTGTGTGTGTATATATATATATATATATATATATATATATATACCACATCTTGATCCAGTCATGTAAAATAGAATATGTTAAGGGGATCTGGACATGTTGGGGTAGGAGTGGAGGTTCTTTGAAATTTTAAATAGAGTGTCAGTGTAGGTCTTGTTGAGACATCTGAGCCAGACTTGAAGTGGAGAGGGAAAGAACCATCTATATATGCATGGTTCTTTCCCTCTCCACTTCAAGTGGGGGCCTCCCAGGTGGCTCAGGCGGTTGAGCGCCACACTGTGAAGCTGTCCACAGCCTCTGCAGTACGGGTTCTATCCCTGCCACCGGCGAGAATCCCACATGGCGAAGCAGACCTCTCCTGTCTCGCCCACTGCTCCCCTCAGCAGTGTATTTCGTCAGTCTGCCTGTTCTGTTCCCCACTCTGTCTCTGGTGAATCTTCTCACCCTCCCACGCATCTAGCCTGTACCCCGGTTCTTTTTTTTTTTTTACCCCAGTTCTTGTATAAAAATAAATAAATCTTAAAAAAAAAAAAAAGAAAAGAACCATGCTTATATCTAGGGGGAAAACATTCCAGGCAGCAGAACAGCCAACATTGCTTGTTGTTGGAGCACAGCGAACAAGGGAAAAATAAGGAGGTGCAGACAGAGGTGGTGAAGAGGGACAGACTTTGAAAGGACTACAGACTTCACCTGAGAGAAAGTGGAATTGCTGAGGGGAGGTCTGGGGTGGACTGCGGGTTTTTAATAACCCCCTCTGCTGCTGGCTTGAGAAAAGACCAGGAGACAGCAGGGGTAGAAGTGGGAGCAGGGAGACCATCAGGCATCTGTCACAGGAACCCAGGGAGAGATGATGGTGGCTTGGAGCTGAGTGGGGGCTGAAGGTGAGTGACTGGATTCTGGCCAGTGGAGCTCACATGGGTGAGAATCAGGAGTCAAAGATGGAGTTGCTATCAGCTGAGATGAGGAGGACCGTGGGAGGGGTAGATTTGGGGGGAAGAACAGGAAATCCTTTTGGATATGTTGAATGTTGAGGTATTTTGTTGTCTAAGACCCTGGAGGTCCCCCCACCCTGACTTCCCAGCAGGGTGCGACAGCCAGCAAGAGGCGCCCCTGAGGGCTGTTCTGTGCGCTCTCTGAGGTGACTCAGGCCTTCTCCACAATGCCACCTGCACCACGAGCTAGGATGCTCTTTTTGGCCAGGTTGGCAGTGGGAATATGCCACCACAGGCCTCCCAGTTGAGCTTCCTAGTCAGTGTTGAAATCCCCTCTGCAAACCATTCCTGATGGCAGCTCTGGGGTTCTCGTGACATGCTGGAGACCCAGACTGTCTTCTGGCAGCTTGGACTGCAGTGACTATTCTCTGAATTGTGGAAGACACACCACTTACTGGCAAATGAGCATTTATTAAGAGCTTACTACATGCAGAGCACTGTGCTGGGGCCGCTAGAAAGGAGAATTCTATCCCCAAACCAGAGGAAGCCCTGCCCCCAAAGTAGTCTCTCTGGGATATTTGCACAGATACAGAAACACAGCATAAAGACATAAAAGAACATCAAAGCAACTTGCAGGTGCAAAGTCATCTGGCACAAAGTAGGAGTATGGGAGTAGATGTGCTGGGCCCCGGGGGTCAGACAGTTTCCCTCCAGCTCAGAGCTTTCTCTGTCCCCAGCTTGAGAACCCGGAGGTCCCTCCACCTGCCTCCATTTGGTTGGGGTGTATCTGAACGCCACCCTCTTATAGGCTGGGTGCTCTTCAAGGGCAGAAACCAACCCCATGTTCTTGGTCATTTTCACCCCACGCTCACAGCCCTCTCCTGGGCCCTGTGCCACAAGGCAGTGGGTTCAGCTGGACAGGCCAGCTGTGTGCTCAAGCTCCCACTGGGGCGCTCAGGCCCAGGACTGGCCTCAGCATAGACCTGCTCTCTTCTGACCTTTGAGTGAGGACCGTGGGATTTCAATTAAGAAGGCCTGAGAGAGTTTACGTTTTGGCTCCACTATACAGAGCTGCCTGACTTTAGACCAGCCTCTTCACCTCAATTTCTAAATCTATAACAAGAGAAGAACAGCATTTACCTGCCTGTCTCACAGGGTTGGGAGATCATCACAGGAGATGACAAGGGAGTACTTTGCAAACAGTAAGACCCTGCGTGGCTGGCGCCTTTGTCTGCCCTAACCTGCCTGGTGTTCTAGGAGAATTAGATAAACTAAAGCATGTCAAGCACGGAGGCAGGGACACACATGAGAGGCTCCACAGGTGTTAGTGCCCCTCCATCCTATCACTTTGGATGCCGCTTTGACCTCTGTCCTGCATGACTCAAATCTGGGCAATCTGGGCTGGAAGTCGTGGGGGCCTGACATTGTTTTGGGGGAGATATGGGATAACTAGGGAGAGGGTGAGAGGACGGAAGGGAGGGAATAGCCAGGGCACACTGAGGGTGGGAGAGGTTAAGAGCCTGGAGGGGCATGGGGCCAACCCCTAACGCATCTCCTTCGCCCTCCTCTTCTTTGACCACCCACTAATGGAGGTAAAGGAGGCTGGGGGTCAGGCCCCTTCTACATTCACCCCCCGGGAAGAGGAATAATGAAATGATCCTAATAATGCGTGATAATGGCATGAGGAATTACAGTTCACACAGCATCTTTACGTGCATCATCTCACTTAATCCCATTTAATCTCATTTGAGAACCATTACACTGGCCTGGAAATTTAGAGGCCTGGACTCCACACACAGACCTGCCTCGGCGTGGACGAGTCTTCTCTGCTCCTGCGAGTGAGTGGCTGGCTGTCCCCCATAGCCGAAGGGAGGGAGCGCTGAGACTGGGGGGAGAAAGGGGGAGGAGGGAACAGATCCTGGGAGGAAGAACTGCTGCCTGGGGAGGGGGCCCAGCAGGTGGGCTGGGTGACGGCAGGGTGTTGCCTGGTGCCTGTGGCTGCGTGCCTAAGTGCCTTGCCCTGCCAGCCAGAGGTGTGTGCCGGGTGAGAGGGCTCACTTGCGAAACTGAGTGTCTCCTTTCAAGAAGTGTCTAGTTGCAAATCTCCCCCTCTCCCGAGACAAAGGCCAGGGGCCTACAAAGGGCTTTTGTTTTCTCTGCCACAGTGGGAGGCTAATCTCTGGGTCTGGAGCCCCCTGGAGATGGGAGGTAGTGTGCACACACGTGTGGCATGGGCACACACACAGGTGTGCACACACTTATGTCTGCTTCCGCCTTTAGAGAGGTTTTCCCTTAGGGCTGAAGGAGGCCCTTGGTCACCCAACCCTCCTTTTCATCTCAGAGGCCACTTCGGAGGGAGCCCCTTTCTGGTTAACACCTCTCTGCCTCTTGGAATGGGTTCTGGCAAGTCTTGGGGCCCAGCTCTGCAGCTTGGGGGAATTTCCAGGCGGGGAGGGGCATGTTTGGGTACCAGGGCCTGCCCTCCAGCCCTGTCACAGTGGCCTCCAGGCAGCCCTTCCCTTCTCCTTGAGGCTCCGGGGGTGCCTGGCAACAAGGTCTCATCCAAGGCAAAGGATGTGGATGTACTGCAGCGTGGGGGGCGGGGTGTGGACGGTCGCCAGCAGGTGCACACACTGGCACTGGCACACCTGTGCGCACACACTGGCTCACGACCCAGCGCTTGGGGACAGAGGGGCACTGGGGGGTGAGCACGCTCGCAGCGCACCCTTGCAAAACCTGATGCCCAGAGCCCCCCAAGGGAGGGGTCCGTATACCTCCCTCCCACCCCATCCAGTTCTCGAGCCTTCCTCTGCGGGGCGCCCCCCCTCCCCAGCTCCACCCGAGTCCCCAGTCCCCAGAAAACCCAGAAGGGTCCCCAGTTGGCCGCCTCCGGCCCGCTCCGCGGAGGGCAGCTGCCAGGCTCGCCGCCCCTCCCGCTGTGGCTTCCGCCTGGCGCGCAGCGCTGGCCGCACCCGGGCTTGTCCTGGACGTGGCGGCCGCTCCGGGGGCGGCGAGCTCGGACCTGGGGAGAAGCGGGGCCAGGGGCGGGGCGGGCGCTCGCGGGTGGCGGGGGGCCGCGGCCGCAGGCGGTGCCCCCGAGTTCCCCCGAGCGAGCCTCGGTGCCGGGGCCCTCGAGGCCGGCGCGCTCAGGCCTTGCTGGCCCGGGGCAGGCTCTGCGGCGAGTGCAGCTCCACCGACTGGCGCCGCCGCGCCTCGCGCTCCTCCCAGTCGACGTCGGGCTCCAGGCCCTTCAGCACCGCCAGGCGCTCCGACAGGCTCTTGGCGGGCGGGAACAGCACGTAGTTGTAGAGGAGGGAGCCCAGGATGGCGCCGACCAGGGGTCCGATCCAGAAGACCTGGGGGCGAGCAGAGAGGGGGCTCGCGGGCCGGAGGGGGGCGCGCGCCGGACGCGCCCCGCGCCCCACCTGCTGCTGGACAGCGGCCTCCAGGGTCGTCCACGCGAGCAGAGGCGCGCTCGGGCAATGAGTCGGGACAGCCCCGCGCGCGGTCGGGAGAACTTGTTCGTGTCGAGGCGAAGGCCGTGATGAGCGAGTTCCTCCCCCTCCGAGCCTCAGTTTCCCTTCGTTAGAATAATACCTCCCTCCTAGGGTTGTCGTGGAAACCAGATGCGTTGCTATGGGCAACCCTTCGGATAAAGCCTAACGCAAGCCAAGCACTAGGCGAGTCCTGACTGACACAGTTGCTGTTGCCCGGTAAATAGAACCATTTCTCTGCTGCTCCGAGGCACTGGCTTATGCCGGAACCTCACAACCCTTCCAAAAAGCCAGTAAGGGGAGAATTGGGATCCCCACTTACAGAGGTGGAAGCTGAGTCCTTAGCATCAGACCTGAAGGGTGGAAGCTAGGGCTCCCCACGTGGAGGAGGAGGTGGGGGGCGCTGGGGACATGGCTGCTGAGCACCCACCCCGCTCTCGTCCAGTCCTTGCTGACGTGGGTTTTTAGGAGACAGAAAGGCAGGGGGGTTTCGGCCATTACCCAGTGGTCATCAAACTTTCCCGTGACGACGGCAGGACCCAGGGATCGGGCGGGATTCATGGAGCAGCCAGTGTAGTGGATCTACAACAGGAGGCGGGAGGGAAGGGCCAGGAGGTGAGGACAGGCCGGGGCATCCTGCTCCCCCTTTCCAGGGCCTGACCTCAGCTTAAAGGGAATCCACATGCTGGACAATTAAGTCCACGTTGTATTTATAGACTGCTGTAGTCATTTGAGACTGTCCCTCTGGGGTATGTGGGCATCAAACCCTCTGGGGTGCGCCCATGTGTCTGTGTGTTGGGAGTCTTTGCATCTGTCACTTTTGGGGGTATATCTCTCTCTAGAGTGGTCCGTGTATGTGTTTCTTTAGAAGTTCTGTGTGTCTGTCTCTCTCGAGAGGCTGGAACCAGTGACCATGACCTACCCCGAGGAGGTGGCCCAGAGCCACAGAGAAACCGATGGAGAGGGCAGGGGTGCCCAGGTTGTCTCCACGCCGCTCGTCGGTGGAGGCAAAGATGCAGAGCACCAGCTGCAGGGTCAGGAAGAGCTCCACGGTCACGGCCTGGCCAGCTGTCGTGTTGTTGCTCAGCTGGGGACAGAGGGGTGAGTAGGGGACCACTGAGCATGCTCCCTGGCCCTCTGTCATCAGAGCTCCAGAGAGACCTCCAGGTCTGGAGCCCTGGGCTCACCCATTGCCTTAGTCCAAACTACTGATAGCTTTTTTCTGGGCTGGGTCCAATGGTAGGGGGTGGACCTAGGACTGCCCATGGTCCCCAGGTCAAGGTAGGGAAAATGTCCGTTTGATTTGGGACCTGGGGGGGTGAGCCTGCAATAGGAGAGGAAGAAGATGCTGAGCTTCGGGGGTGCCTGTTTCCTGAAGAATATAAAGAGAAGAAGTTTGATCGCAGCAGGAAGCTTTAGACCAGGTAACAGGAAGACCTTCCTCTCTACCTGGGCCATAAGGCACTGGCGCAATGAGGTTCCTGTGCTCTCTCTTCCTGTGGCCCAAGGTCTCCCAGGGACAGGATCTAGGAACATGGGGCTTTCCTCTAACCTTTGCCTGTTCCCTTTGACCTTACCTGTTCCCCACTGTGAGTCAGACCTTGACTTTGCCCTGTGGAGTTGCTCCCTGAATATCCTGTGGGGGTTGGGAGTGGGTACTGGAGCCCTGTGAAATGCCTCCATTCGCATGTGGAGTGCCCACGTTCCCAGCAGACCCTGCCTTGGGTAACAAGAGAATTTAGGCCCCAGCAAAGGGGTGATTTCACAACTGGGCCGCACCCAGCACTGGATTTCTCTCTGGGTTTTGTCATACTGTACCCTACACCCTGCCCTCTGGGGCTGGGCACTGCACCGGGCGAAGCCGTGATAGCTCTCAGCTCCCACACTCTTCTGTGCCCTCAGCCCCCGCTCCCAGGTCCTAGTCGTTGGGTTGGCACCCTTTTGTCTCTCTGGGGTCTAACTGTAGTCCAGCCTGTTGACCAGTGTCAGAGTCTCCAGTAGAAAGCAGGGAAAAGAGTTTCAAAGGCAAACGCCTTAGCGCTTCTGACTTGCCATGGATCCTGTTTTCTTGGGACTCAGTTTGTCCTTCTGTATCAAAAGATTCCAGAGAACTGTGTGGGGCCTGGAAATGACAAGGGCAGAAGCCCAGCTCCACTCCTGTTGGTAAATGGCTACGGTACAGCCGTGGGGCCTGTGACACAGTAGAGCTCTGGGTTTATTTCCAGGTGCTGACATTTCCTGGTTCTGTGGGGGAATTGAATTGTGGGCCTCAATTTACCACTCTGGGTAGAGGGATCACGGAATTCACCTTATAGTGCTGTCCCAAGGTGCTCTCTGGCCTGGCACAGAGCAGGTGTACGTCAGTGGTAAGCACCTGGTGGGCAGGCTGTGCTTTCCAGGGACCTTGGAGGACACCTCGGTCGGCTCTGAGGGTCCTGTAACTCTGTCTAGCCCCAGGACAAGTCAGTCCCCTGCTGTCCCATTCCAGCCAGGCGGCTTCTCCCAGTTCCTCAAGATGGTGAATGCTGAGCAATTACTTGGGGGAAACTTTCCTCCCCTTCTGAGGACTTCAGTCAACTGTGAAATGATGGGACAGAAGGACTGAGTGTCCCCACAGCCTCTCAGAACTCCCTCTACCCTGCTACTAGGGGAGGTTTCCCCGGCCACACATTCTGAGACTTTCTTGGCATGTCAGGAAGTTCCTCTTCCAGTCTAACTGAACCTCTCCTTGCCGCAAACTTCATTCTCAATGGAAATGGCCACACTCCTCAGCCTGTCCCCGACCAAGATTAATCTTGCTTTTTCTCAGTCCTGCACCCCTGGCTTCATCACATTTTCCATTTTGAAGAAGAGAGAAGTTCCCCAGTTGGGCATCTCTGCCCCTCCCATGAGGAAGGCCCCTGTGCAGAGGATGGATGTGGCCATGGAGACCAGAAGACTCTTCAGACTCAGCTGAGCTCTTCCTCAGCGGAGCAGGGATAGAGCAGGCCCAGGGATGGACACAGGAGGTACTTGCTGTCCTGACCTGGGGCCTGGGGTGGGGGTGGAGGGGGAGTTGTGGGAGGAGACACAGATCATCTCTCCCCATTCACACCCTCAAATCTCAGACCTTGCATAGCCCCTGGAAAGATGAGATGTGCAGGGGGAGGGGCTGTGACATCACCCCAGTACCAGTTAGCCATCATGCCACATCACCATCACCAGCAGCTAGCTTACCCGCCCTGGGGGCCTCTCCAGGGTCTGGCGAGACCCTGCCCCCTCTGCTTTCCCCTGGGTTCTGCTGTGTTCCCTGTTATTGACAAACTGAAGAACGTTTGGCCCATCATCTCTCTCTCTGAGTCTCAGTTTCCTTGTTTGCAAGACAAAGCTCAGGGAGGTGTTAGTCAGGTAGAAAGGTGACAGGTTTTACAGTCAAACCTGGGTGGAAAAACTGTCTGACTTGGATCCCCTCTCTGAGTCCCAGCTCCCATATCTTTAAGAAACGGATGTGCCATCCCTACATCGCAGGACTGCTGTGAGGAGCACCCCGTGATACTCGCAGTAGATACCGAAGAGACGTAGGGTCCTTCTTTCTCCTAAAAGATCCTTGGATTCCTGGGGTTCCTCGCAACTCAGAAAGCAGGTCTGCTGTGGGACCCTGTCCTCTGCCGAGCTCCAGTCCAGTCCTCACTATAATGCAGGCATCAAGTTACCAGAAACCTTGATGCTGTTTTTCCCTCGGTGAAGCTCAAGGCAGAAGGTACTAGAAGCCCTGTGGAAATCCTGCCTGCACTTTGACATGATTGCTCCCCCACCAGACTCTCCGGGGCTGTGTTCCTGCTCCAGCATCTCTCTTCCTCTCCTTCTCTCCCTCCCTTCCTCCCTGCTGGTCTCCCTCCGCACTCTCACCCAGACCCCACCCCTCTCATCTCATCCTTTGAAAGCACTCCCTTCCCCTGGAAAGGACTGGGTCTGGCTACTCACTGCATTGATGGCCAGGTCCCCTCGGACGTCTGAGGGTGTGACTTCATGGAGCAGCGCAGCTCCTGCCACAGCCCCCAGCAGCTGGGCAGCCACGTAGAAGGCAGCTCGGAGAAAGGAGACGTGGCAGCCCACCAAGCAGGCCACAGTCACCGCGGGGTTGATGTGGGCCCCACTGATGTGACCCAGAGCCTGCACCAAGGTCCCGATAGCCAGGCCAAAGGCCATGGCAATCTGCAGCACAGAGGGCAGGCTTTGTTGCCAGTTGAGGGCTGAGCCAAGGCCAAAGAAGACAAAGATAAGTGTGGCCAGGAACTCTGCAAACACAGCCCTGGAAAAGGCTATTGACCGGAGTTCCCACATGCTGTGGAGCCCTCTGCGGACTCGCCCAGGGGTCTTAGCAGGAGGAAGCTAGTAGACTCTCTCTCTCTCTCTCTCTTTCAGCCATGAACATTTATAGGCTCCTTTCATCCTGGGTTGGACACATGGGGTAGGAGGACTTTAGCCAATGCCTCTACCTCCTGCCGTGCACCCCACCCCTGCCCACCCGCATGCCTATCACCCCATCTTGGCCTTCACAGCTGACTAATGTTCCCTATTAATGAGCTCCAGATAAGGACTGACGTCCCTGGGTTTTCCGTGTTTGTTCCCTTGGTTACCCCAGGATTGTGCCTTAGGGCTTCCCTTCACCCCCACAGTTTCTGGAAATGGAAATCTCTGTAGGGGATTGTGTCAAACCCTCTCTCACTAACTCAAACTGTTGGCTTCCACAGGGGCAACACCTCACCCAAAAACTGACCAAGAGAGAGGTTAGCACGATCCCTTCCAGTGACCGGGAAGTTCTTCCTATTGTCTGGCCTCCAGTTATTGCCTTTGAAGAGGCTGGAAAACATCCGGTTGACTTGTGACGAACCTTCCAAGAGTAAAGTTTTGGCTCTTCTGTGCTTGCTTTCTTGCAGTCAGTTACCCATGAGGTATAAAACTTCTCTTCCTCCTGGAGCCCCAGTCAAGCATACCTGGAGGTGAGGGTGGGTTCATTGTCTTTGGGACTCTGCCCCGGGGTGGTGGAGTCAACCTAGGGTCGACTGAGGAAGCTAAGGGCTTCCATTCCGGCCTCACCCTGGCCCACTTCTGGACTTAGCCTTTTTGTCTGTCTCTATGTAAAGGGGATAAAGAACCTGCCTCCTGGGATTGGGGCTCGGATTCAATAAAATAGTGTATAGAAAGTACTCAGAGGGCTTCCCTGGTGGTGCAGGGGGCTGAGCTCAGTGCTGTGAGGCTGTCCGCGGCCCTTGCGGCACGAGTTTGATCCCCAGCCGGCTGGGGAGCAACCCACATGGCACAGCAGACCTCTCCTGTCTCGCCTGCTGCTCCCCTCAGCAGTTATGTTTCCGTACATCTGCCTGTTCTGCTCCTGGCTCTCTCTGGTGAATCTTCTCAACCCCCGCGACTCTGGCTGTACCCCACTTCTGAAAAAAAAGAAAGAAGAAAGTACTCAGAGCCATGCCTGGCATACAGCAACCTTTCAATTAAGATCCACTACTATGGGGGCCTCCCCTGGTGTTGCAGGCGGTTGAGCCCCGCACTCTGAAGCTGTCTGCAGCCTCTGCAGTGCGGGTTCGATCCCGGGTGGCTGGGGAGAATCCCACATGGCGCCGCAGACCTCTCCAGTCTCACCCGCTGCTCCCCTCAGCAGTGTATTTTGTCAGTCTGCCTGTTCTGTTCCCCACTCTGGCTCTGGTGAATCCTCTCACCCTCCTGCGCATCTGGCCTGTACCCCAGTTCTTGTATAAATAAATCTTTTTTTTTAAAGATTTATTTATTTATACAAGCACTGGGTACAGTCAGAAGCGTGGGAGGGCAAGAGATTTCACCAGAGCCAGAGCAGGGAGCAGAGCAGACAGACGAAATACACTGCTGAGGGGAGCAGCAGGCGTGGCAGGAGAGGTCTGCACGCCATATGGGACTCTCGCCGCGGCCAGGGATTGAACCGGCGCTGCAGAGGCTGCGGGCAGCTTCGCAACCTAGCATTCAACTGCTGCGCCACCGGGGAGGCCCTAAATAAATAAATCTTAAAAAACAACAAAAAAAAAGATCAACTACTATGGATAGTGGGAGAACAGGTCTCCTTAAACGGTCATGTCAGGGTGCCAGAAGACATGTCTCCCCAGCTCACACGTCTAGGTAATAGAGCTCAGAATCACATAGGCCACAGGAGAGGATATTTCTGTGAGGCAGTGAGCTGTGTGGACTCAGGATGACTGCAGCGCTTGGTGAGCGGTTCTCCAGACTCAGTGCCCACTTAGCCCACCTTCTGCCATCAGCACTACTCTGGCCATTGGAGTCTGGGAGACATTTGGGCCTGACAGACAATTAGCTCTGGGAGTCCCTGGGCCACCCTGCCCTACTCTTCCCTATCCTTCCAGCCCTGCTCACACTGCTGGAGACCCCAAAGCAGGGCCAGTTTCAGAGCGGGGTCAGGATGAGTGGCTGCTGCATCCTGCTCTGCCTCTGGCCAGTAGGTGTCAGGGGTCCTGGCCAGTGGCTCCCAGTGCACCAGGGAGCATTCCCTCTCCTTGTAGTTTTAAAAACAATGTGAGCAAGATGGGCATTAGTTCTTTAAAGATTTGATGTCTGAGGCCTCCCTGGTGGCGCAGCGGTTGAGCGCTGGGTTGCGAATCTGCCCGCAGCCTCTGCAGTGCCGGTTCGATCCCCGGCTGCTCCCCGGCCACCAGAGGAGGGTCCCGCATGGCACGCGGACCTCTCCTGCCGCCCGCTGCTCCCCTCAGCAGTGTGCTTCGGTCCTTCTGCCTGCTCTGCTCCCCGCTCTGGCTCTGGTGAATTCTCTCGCCCTCCCGCGCTTCTGACTGTGCCCAGTGCTTGTATAAATAAATAAATAAATCTTCAAAAAAAAAAAAAAAAAAGATTTGATGTCTGATAGACCTGTTTGCTATAGCTCCTCATTTAAGACCATTGTTTCCTTATTTATTCTTTAGGTTGCTGATTTGTCCATTGTAGTGGGGTACTGCAGTCCTCTGGTATTACTAAGTTGTTATCAATCTCTCCTTTTAGTTGTTTTCAATTGTCTTAGGTACTCAGGACTCCATCGTGTGGTGCATATACACTTGTGAGTGTTATTTCTTCTTGTTTATTAGTTTATTTATTTATTATTATTATTATTAATAAATAATAATAATATTGTGTCCGTCTCCATCTCTTATTACCTTTCTCTTTTTTTTTCTTTGGAAATCGATTTTTAGTCTTATGTCCAATTCCTCTCGAGGCTACCTTTGAATAGTCAGTGCAGCGCTTGGGCACAGATGGTAGTTGATATGAAATCACAGACTGGGGGCCTCCCTGGTAGTGCAAGGGGTTAAGTCTCAGCACTATGAAGCTATCTGCAGCCACTACTGGAGTTCAATCCCCTGCCAGGGAGCTGGCCCGCCTGGCGCAGCAGACCTCTCCATTCTTTCCCACTGCTCCCCTCAGTGTATTTCTATTAGTCTGACTCTTCTTTTGCCCACTCTGTCTCTGGTGAATCCTCTCACCCCCTGCACCTCTGGCATGTACCCCAGTTCTTGTATGCATATGTAAATAAATCTTAAAAAAAAAAAGAGGGCCTCCCCGGTGGCGCAGCGGTTGAGCACTGGGTTGCGAAGCTGCCCGCAGCCTCTGCAGCGCTGGTTCGATCCCCGGCTGCTCCCCGGCCACCGGAGGAGGGTCCCACATGGTGCGCAGACCTCTCCTGCCGCCTGCTGCTCCCCTCAGCAGTGTACTCGGTCCTTCTGCCTGCTCTGCTCCCCTCTCTGGCTCTGGTGAATTCTCTCACCCTCCCATGCTTCTGACTGTACCCAGTGCTTGTATAAATAAAATAAATAAATAAATAAATAAATAAATAAATAAATAAATAATTTGGAAAAAAAAAAAAGAAATCACAGGCTGGGAGTTGTTTTCTTTCCTTTTACAGCACAAAACCTCATCCTGGGGTATTTTCTCCTGCTATTAACAGCTGCTTGATCTCTAGTTTATTCAAGCATTCCTTTGTTGTATTGGTTCTAGTCCTGTAATTGGGGTGGGTTGTGGCAGGTGTTTTTTTTTTTTTTTAATAGAGGCATGTTTTATTTTATTTATTTGTTTGTTTGTTTGTTTGTTTATACAAGCACTGGGTACAGTCAGAAGCGCGGGAGGGTGAGAGAATTCACCAGAGCCAGAGCGGGGAGCAGAGCAGGCAGAAGGACCGAGTACACTGCTGAGGGGAGCCGCGGGCGGCAGGAGAGGTCTGCGCGCCATGTGGGATCCTCCGCCAGTGGCTGGGGAGCAGCTGGGGATCGAACCGGCGCCGCAGAGGCTGCGGGCAGCTTCGCAACCCAGCGCTCAACCGCTGCGTGTGGCAGGTGTTTTGAATGTTCCAGCCTCTTTGGGAGTAGTAGCCCCTTCTAGGAGAGACACCACACGAGTAACCTGACCTGTTTCTCCCCGCTGATTCAGACTCCAGTTGTTCTGTATAGAGAGCCTCAGCCTCAAGCCAGTAATCCTCACTCTGCACCCACACTCCTAAAGTTCTCAACAGCGAACTCTCGGTTCTAGGTGCCAACTTGTGCGTCCTCTTATCCAGTGCATGGCCAGGTATGGGGAATCCCCCATATTGGCTTGTGCCTGAGACAAGAACTGTAGGAGGCTCTGCCCAGCAAACAGTTTGCTTAAAGTTTTTCCTCTCCCTTCCTACTGGTCATTGCTCCTGGTCAGTGCTGTAATCATTCGCTTTTCCCTGGCTGAGGTGTTTGTGAGGGGTGTGGTGCGGGGTAGCCTGGCTTTGCTCGCCTCAATTTAGTTGTCCATGTTTGGCGGAGGTGAGCCCAGTGTCCTCACTCTGCTGCCATCTCGCCGGATTCCAATTCAAAGTAAGTGTTAAAAGTCAGCGAAAGAAAATGACCACCAAAATGCTTTGTTACCATTTTTTATTTTGCACTTATTGAGAGAAGTCTTTTGAGATATGCTTTTAAAAAAAAAAGGAAATTATAGACAAAACAGATTGGCTAAAATCATCCAAAGTTTATACTGGAATCCAACTTTACTGAATCCCTTTTTGAGAGTTCCGAGTATTTTTCTATGCAGTGTCACCCTAGAAATGTAGATGTGCATCTTTTCTTACTCCGTTTCTTACGAGGGGATCTAGTGCTGTTTCCAGAATTTATTCTAAGCCTTGGATACATGTTCCATAAGCTTTATTACAGGTGTTTTATTGCTACATGTGTGACTAGGAATTTCTGTGCCCTTTTCTCAGTAATAACATATAACAATTTCACTGACTTGTCCAGTTCTTCCTTTTTCAAAAGATGAAGCTGTTGTTTTGCAGGAAAATGTAGAATTGTGGTCATTCTTGAGTGGCAACTATTTGCTTCACAAATACCAAATTCTGTCAGTGCTCCTCTGTTTTCACAACTTTCTGTATACACAATAGTCTTATTTAACCACTAAACCACACTGTAACCTTTTGAAAGACATTTTAAATAGCAATCGAACAAAAGAGATGTAAGCATGAGAAGGATGGAATCCACCTGATGAAGTGAGCACAGGTAGTGACAATCTCTCCTAAAACACAATCGTAACAGACATTAAAATGATAAAAAGGGGTACACCCTTCCCCTGATGAAATATAGCAGCTCTAATTTAAACATGTACTTAATAATCTGTCATGCACAGCTCTAGACATTCCTATATGTATTTACTCTTAATCCTTAGAGTAATCCTATGAACTAAATAGCATCCCACTTTTCAGGGACAAGGAAAATGAGGAAGAGAGAAGTTAAGTAACTTTCTTGAGGTCACATAGCAAGTTAGTGGGGAGGCAGACTTAGAGCCCCAGGAGTCTAGAATTCCAGAGGACTTTTTTGATTGTGAAAGTGAACCCCCATCTCAGTCCCTGAAATAACCAAGA